CAATACACAACGCAACAATGTTACACGCACACATTTCGGCAGCGATAACAGCACAATTGTGCGTTTGGTGGAATGGTGCATTTCGGCCGCCTCCTGCTGACACTGGCACGCGCGTATAATAGTAATATTTTCGCAGACATTCCCGCCGCCACGGCCATGACGCGAGCTTCATATATCTCAATTGAAGGCTTAGCGAGGCTGGCGGAGCGCGCGTCCATCAAGTTTCAAAACCGGCTGGCATTAACTCGCCACCCCCACGGCCATTTTACGCACTCTCGACCATCCATTTAACGCCAGCGTACAATTAAATACAGTTTTTCTGTAGCCAGCCGAGTCAATAAACAAATAAACACAAATTTTCGGAAAGGAAAAAATGTGTTGATTTGATTTGATACAGTTGTAATCGTACTAATTGTATTACTCATAATGGTTGAGTTATAATAGGGTGGGGTGGCAGGCAAGTCAGTACCAGTCGGTACGTGCCTGGCCGTCTTTCGTCTTCATTTCGAAAACAATCTTTCTCGAGAGCGGAAGCGGCGACAAGTTTTGTATATGCCACGGCATCAAGTTTCAAATTGACGCGTGCATGCGTTACTAAAGTTTTGTTTTTGTTTTCTTCACATAAAACGACATCACGACAACCAAAATTATATTTTCAAACAATAATTATATTTAATTATATTTTTTATTAATTTTTTTAAAGAAAAACTTACCTTCGAAAAAATTGAAGCGTAAAATCCGTATGCGTATAATTCAATTTCTAGTTCTCACTGAATATTCTATGCTGGATGATTAGTTAGTTGAGGTGTTGAAAAAAAATTATCGCGGAAAACGCGCTCGCGGATCGTGACTACTCGTAGGGCAGACGTGCGTTTACCGGCGCCTCCACCGAGCGATTGAGGACGCGCGACACACGCAGTGAGGGAGCATCCGTACAGTTCTCGAGCGCCGCTGCTGCCGCCGGTTGCCGCCACTACCACCGCCGCTTGCTCTTTCTGCCTGACCCCTCTCGACCCGCGGCGCTCTCCTGTTGCTTCTTCCAGTTGGCCGCCCATTGCAGCCGACTCCCGACTCCTAACTCGGGACTCGGGGATTTAGCCACGAAAAAGAAACAACACACACACCCACACACACACACAAAAAGAAATCCGAAGCCGAAGCAGAAGGACAATGTTGATATGTGGTATCACTGCGTCGGGCTTTAGCTTTGACTTAGAGTCGGACTTAGCCGAGAGAGGTTCGTGTGTGAGTTTAATTCATATCGAAGAATGCATCTACGACAGCCGGGCGTAAGCGGAAACGAAACTTTTCAAAGGATTTGCGTACGAGTTTGAGTACGACATGCATCGCGAATCGCTTCCTTCCAAAGTCGCCACGTCAAACACAAATATGCGAATGCGGTCGGATCGCGGTATCAACTCAAACACGCCGATAAACCCCCAGCGGAGAGAACAAGTAGGCAACTTTATTTACGCGGTTATTATGCGTGCAAGTTTTTCACAACTTTCAACCAAACACGTCCACATGACAAACAATATTATATGCGTAAATGGTAGTTACAATCGACCAACATAGGAGAGAATAATCACCCACTCTAGGATGTGTGCACAATGAACACGCTCGCGATGCGTGTGCACACTGTTCGTGATATGTTACAAGTAGGCCCAATGGATGTCAATGGTCGCGCTGCGCTAGTACACATCGTATACAACCAGCGCTGCACGCGCTCGTCGCTCACGCTTCGGTTGGTCATCGTCGCGCGGGCCGTAAATTTGTAACATATCACTTTGGGAAATGCAAGCGACGGATGAGATTCGCCATCGTGAATCGACCGTTTCATATCCGCAACCTCATCGCTGCGGCGAGGATATTGTTTTCACGAGTGTGTGGCTACAACCAGACCAAACCTCACTAAGCATCAAAGAGCAATAAGTACATGTGGTGCAATCCAAACACATTACACAACCACTGTTGAAAAAATAATAATGATTAAAATAATTATATATTAATAGAGGTTAGGTCTATGGGATAAAGGACTAGTTGACTAGTTGGCACTCCATAACGCCGCGCACGGTTCATCTGTAATGTGCGATAACTGTTGATTGATGCGTTATACCGCCGCCGCCTTTATCTGGCCCACGCTGGAAGGATGCGACGCGGCTTGGCGCGAATCTCCACAGCTAATATTAGCTTTTAAAAGTGTGAACAAGTTAATATGCATAGGTAAATCTTTCGACGGCGGCGCTGTGCGTAGACTCGACCGACATCCATTCACGTCCTGCAGACTTCATCAATCACTCGCTGCTCGCGCTGTACACACGACCAACAGCCGAGGAGAGGAGGAATACAGCGCACCACGCGGTGGAAACCAACAGAATTGCTACTCGCCCTCTATTAATATTCGTCTGCCGACCGCTAACTAGCGCCAACCCCGGAATAGTGGTGCTCGCTATCCGTTAACTAGGTGTCCGTCGACGGGCCGGTCTAAACATTTATTCACCCAGAGGTTTGCCGGCGAAAGGTTAAGAAAAATGGGTTGTCACTGCCGGCCCGAGTGAAAAATGTGCGTATCCTTAATTGGTTTATCTCTGGAGGCACCTGCGCGTGTACCCTCCTTCGATTCGATCGGGATCAGATCAAGATCAGCAAATTAGCCAGGGATCCGCTCACGTCAAGACATCAAGTTCAAGTTAAATGTGGATAAAAGGGTTGCGTCGATTTCATAGCTGTTTTGATTATCTGGCGAGGTTTTGCGACACCGGAGCGAAGCGGGAAGCGCAATCCAGACCGGAATAGCGATTTTGGCGCGCCAGTTATTTTCAATCCTTATCACGAATTCCACTCTCAGCCATTCTCGCCGATATCGGCTTCCTTTCGCTCACCCTTTTTTTCACCAGCGCGTGCTCGACGCCCGAGATTTATTGTTTTATTTTATGTATCAATTTTATAACGTTTGCTTCTCTTCGTGCGTTTGCCAGTTTCAATTTAAAACTACTTTCGTTGCATTTATGCCGCGGCGAAAGAAAAATGCAGATCGTTTCGAATTCTCCGGCAGTCGCACACGCTTTATCCTTCATTTCGTTCGGTTATTACGTGCTCGGCTGGGATTGTTTCGTCTGTGGCCTGACTAGGCTCTGCCTCTCAGACGGGGTCTAAGCAAATATCAACAGTCACAATCACGACAGCGCGCGCATATCAATTTTTTAAGTTAAAAACCCATTTAACCAACACTAAATCCCAGAGGTTTTCAAACAATAAACTAGTTATTAACAATAATTGCACATGAGGAGGAGAGTCTGCAAACTGCTCGTTTAGCAATTACCATTAAAAGCCGCCCATTAAGGGCAATTAGCATTCGACCGCGTTGCCGGCGTTGGACTAGCGCCCAACTTGCCCTGTTCGACAAAGTCGGGACGAAGTAATCATTTAATAATGCTCGCGAAGTGCACCTCAGGTCAGGTCTATCGACTTCATCTCCAACTCCACCTCTTCGTGAACCCCCTTCATGGGATCCAGTTTGGTATCGGTTTAATATCCATAGTCTTGATACCGTTTTGACTCGTAACGCTCGTATGAATAAATTGACTGATTCGACTGAAGGGCGAGCAGACGGGCGACACATTGTGCGGAGATTTCGTTAGACTGCGGAGATCCGCGCGCATCAAGGGGACTTGATTGAAAACTCGGCGTAGCGGACAAATACGACCCGAGTGGGATTTCGCACTGTCGGGAGAGTGTGCCGGTAAGAGACTCTCGAGAGTCGTCGTACTCGCATTAGGAACACGACTTATATATTTTTTTTATTTTTCGTATTTTTTTCTATTTACACTGATTTTTTGTGTGTTCATACATGCGTCGGGTATAATTATGTTTGCATCACTTCCAGAATCAAATCAATGTGATGATTAATTGGTTGTTGGTACAATGGTTGGGTCGTGTTCTTTTCTTCATAGAACACACAATAGGTTTGATTCTGGTGGCGACGTATGAAAGGGCACAGCGTGCGGTCGGTGCGCCTTGTTCTCTGCTATCTCAGCGCCTGAATTTATGAGCAATAAATATAACTGCAGTATCTCACGATTCTGGAGACGTTGGAGACGCTGAGATGACACATATAAGTATAAGCCGGTGGCAAGCGTGAAAGATCGGATGACGAGTGGATGATGAGCGTCACGCTTTTCCGCCGCCGGCGTTGCCGCCGTCGCGACAGCCGGTAACAGGGTGACATTACGCGGTGTCGACTCGGGTGCGACCTGACAGCGGATTAAAGCTTCCAGGTCGACGTGAAGACGCGAGTCGAAATGTTGGCGTTTAGCCTTTCGCTCTGCGTACGCATCAACGCAAAAGGGCGCTGTCAGCGCGCGGACCCATCCGGACCAAACACTATTCCTCAATGTCAAGTGGCAACCACCTTATCCAAATTACAACCGGGTCCACTTCACTTCATATACACCTTGTGCTACAGCCGTTTAAATTATCTTCCGTGACCAGAATACATTAAATTTTATTTACCACATAAAAATCTAGTTTGTATTGCAGGATATACAAGTAATTACAACCCCATTGCTAAAACAAATTTATTCAACAAAGGATCGGCCGGTTCAAGGTTCAATGCATTCCGGCAAGCTTGACTAAGGTGATTTGTGCGGAGGCGGCGCGCACAACCAATTAAGACCGGAAACGAATCGATACGCGTCGATAAATGTTCGACTAATTGATAGATGCTAATGGTTTTCGCAATAAGTGTGCATGAGGCACAACAAATGTAAATAAACCTACGTGTCATCGACAGAGCCGTAAATGTAAGGTTAGGTATTATAGTCAATTAAATAATGTGCCGGAAAAAATAAAGGGGTGAATGTAGGTTGGCTGTGGTGTGGTGTACACGCTCAATTTGAACGCGATGGCTTGTTGCGCTCGATGCAGATTAATTAAGCAAACGTCCAGCGCGGACGGGCATGGAGACAAATGGAAAAATAAATGTTTGTGTAACTACATACCCATGACCACGACTGCATCATGTCTTTCACGTTCTCGCCGAATTGATCGGACAAGCGTCGCACCACCGCTGCTGTAAGATCTTGTCGTGCATCTCCTGAACTGTTACTGACATCCTGCAATGGAAAACAGGTTATAAATGCTGCGTCATCGTCACTTCACCGCAGTAGGATTATTCTAGAATGTTTTTGTATATCTATCTCTTTTTAATGCATGCATACCAACTTAAATTTTACTATGTATAACAGCGACATCTACGTAAGTTATTTTAATGTAGTGTTACCACACTAGTGAATATGCAGTGATGCCAACTTAAATAGTAAACGTTGAGGTTAGGTTTACGCTTACCATGTATGATACATCAGTTGCATTCTGTGCGAGCATAGATTGAAACTTGCTGCGTGTTGTACGCGGTGTCCAAATAGATGTTTCGGTTGTCGTCGAATTGTCAGCTGCATTCGGTGAGTTGTCGTCTGTTTGAATTGAGAAGTTTGTTTTAATGAGTAGCAACGCCAAGAGGACTCGTAACCCGGCGTCCATGTTCAAACGCGTTGCAGTTTATTGTGCGCAGCGCGTCACAATGACAACGCTTGAAATACTCGCCGATTGCGACAATTCCCTGATTGATAATAACAGAATTTTGTGTGCAGGTAACCGCGTCCAAGTCGTGGAAATTGACTTTCACTTGATAGGTAAGTATTAGGTTGCACATAGGACTTCAGAAGGCGTTGTGGTTTCATCACTTTGTAGTTTCTTCAAAGTGAAAAAGTGCACTTCTACAAATTAAAGTGCAGCTATACTCTTAATTCAATGTACGTGTAATGTAATGTCTGAGGATCTGGTTTTAAGTTCCAAAGTCTACTTTTAATTGAATTCGAGTGACACGGTTGTGCGCCCGTCGGCAAGAAGGTTGGTAAGATTCTCTGATGCTTGTCGTCAAAGAGCTGGAAGCATTGTCTCTGCGAATCTGGGGCTTTCATGTCATCCGCGGATCAAATGCTATCTTGTAGTCGTAGATGTGGGGAAGCGAAACTTAATATCTCCATGTAATCCTCGCGAATAAACCATGCACGCTGCGGGAGTCACACACAGGCTCGCAACAAATGAAATCGTCTTGTAATCTGGGGAGCGCTTGGCGGTCAGCATCAATGTTTCCACGCAATGTATTTCCGACGGAGAGTGTGTGCTCTGGCCCGTGCGGAGTAATCGGTACGCTGGGGTTTTCCCTCAGCATGCCGGAGATCGTTTGCGCAAAGACTCCCCGAACGTGTGTAATCTCTGAGGTGAACTCCCCGAAACTTAGCATTTCAGCCGTTTTCGCCACCCCAGTACCACACAACCACCTCCTCTGCACCCTTAAGATAGTTGTATAAACTCCTCGCGAGCGAAGATGGTGGGAGATTTTAGGTGAAGACGCATCACCACCGTTCGCGTCTTAATAGCTTGTTGAATATACTTAAAACTATGGCGAAACTTGCGAAGATGTTGACTAATAATGCGCCGATAATGAACAGCAGCGAACCGCGCGCATTTCGGAAACAATTTTGATTTCTTGTTGGCGTTAAATTATATCGCCTGGCAGTTATTGACGTTTCGCGCGCCGAGCGAGGCGGTAAATGACTCCGCTCGCGGGTTAATCAATTAATTACCGAGATAAGCGATTCGCGAAAGTTGCCCAATTCGAGGGCAACTATTGTGTCTCGGATTGATTAATCATTTCTCGTGACATCCTCGATTAAATCATTAACACAAATTAGCTAATAATTATGTTTGGCGGAGTGTAAGACGTATTTTTTCCGGGGGTGTAGAAAAGAAAAAGTCAACCGCTGTGGGGCATATCAACGGAAAACAACTTTCCGTAATCGAATCTTGTTTTCCAATGAACTTCGCAATGAACTCGCCTTGGTCTCGCGCTCGCCTCGATGAGAATGTCTACTTTCGTAAGTAGAAAGTTTAATGCGGATATAAAGCAGCGCGACGCGGTGGGAATCGCCTCCACTGCCGCCTCCGCCACACCGTAACGCAGTGTAGCCACTTTTGCGCGATGCGCGTTTGCCTTTTGGCATGGTTGTCGTCGACGTCGACGTCGACATCGTCGCACGGTGCGCGCGTCGCACTGAAGGGGGTGGGTGGGCGACCACCGCCACACACACAGTATATGACATTCCGCGCGCCAAACGCGGCATTTAGGCAACTATGCCTCAAGTCGAGATGAAAAGCATTCCGCCAGCGACCACATGCAGCCCGAACAAACACACGCCAAAGGCAAGCCGCCCCCGGAGATGCGGAACTGCGAACTGCGACTCTTGCAGTTTCCGGGCTGCCCTCTAACCTATACTCTCTCTCTGTGCTCAAACGGCAACTATATTATTATGTGAATAATATTTAGTATTTAAAAAATTATTTTATCATGAGAGGATTTTATTGAAAGTGGATTCGGGTGCGTTGGAAGTTTGAGTCTCTCGATGGACTGGAGGCAGGCGGCGGCGGCGACGAAGGAACTCGCCTGCGCGCTCTTCAGATGTTTCGAATTCTTTGCATTTTCATATTTTTGAGGATGGGGTAGGCTGCGCGCTAGAAGCCAGCAATGCAGCGATGTGTATTTGCGCCCAGGGGTGGCGCGCATTACGAAATTAATTTAGTTTATAAACAACAACAACCTGAAATATGCCGCGCCCGAAAAACGCCACCAGTTTTGGTGTGTGCATGGCGATGTGTGCGCGCACATACGCACAAACCACACGCCCGGAAAAGTGGAAAAGCATGAGAAAACCGAAATAACGATCACTCTGTTTGGCGGCGGCAGCGGCGGCAGAAGCAGTGTGGTGGTGGCGGCACCCGTCTTCCGCCGCCTTTGCTTTGCCGCTTTGTTCCGCCTTCGAAACAATGAAATGGCACTCGTATTCTTTAAAGAGCATTATTTACTAACTAGTACTAAGAACCGAGAGGGCATGAAAACGCTGCCGCCGCCGTGCGCGCATTTTAAAAAACGAGGGGTGACTCGAACAGCCCCTGCGCCGGCGTTGCGCTGCGAGTGAAAGAGGATAAATTGCTGGCGCGCCAAGCGAGCAGCCTTCGAAAGAGATACAATTAGGGATTATTTAAAAAGGAAAAAATGTGGAAAAAGTGTATCAGTCGCGACGTATCAACGGCACTGATACAAAAATACGGTTATTTCCTGCATTTTTATCGCAGTGGCCCGCAAAATCAATTTCGAATCGAATCAATCGACATAATATAATTACCCATTATCATATTTTCTTTGAATTCAAATAAAACACACAAAATCTATCTATAATATAGAAAAGAATCGCAAAATGTGTTGGTAAGCGCATAACTCAACAACGCCTAGACCAATTTAGCCAATTTTTTCTATAAAATGTTTGTTAAATCCCAAAGATGGTTTTTACAGCGAGAAAAATTTAAATTATTACAAGGAAAACCCTAAAGACAGCCCTTTTCTATAGAATGAAAGTTGGCATTGAGATTCAATTACAGTTATAGTTAAATAGTTGAATCCGAGATGGCGCGCTGAAAAGCATTATTAGCAATTCTTTATATAAATAATTTTTTTTAAATAAAATTGCGAATCTTATTAATAGAATTGACACATACTATGTCTAGAACAAGAGAATAAAAACGAATTAAATTTATATTAAACAGGCTAGTACATAAATATTTTTACTCCAATTTTATAAATTACTCAAATAAGCATAATTTTTGCTTTTAATTTATTTCCGTGCAAATTTCCTCCGTGCACATGTGCCCGCCCAAGCAAAGAAAGCAAAAATTAGTCGATCGTTTCCTAAGTGGTGCGGTCGAGCGTAGCGTCCACCGCCGGTCGGTTAACTGCGACCGCCGGCTATTCATACATTAAGTGCTTTCATTTTTCACGACGCGCTCCGTCGACGCCGCCGTCGCGCTCCACACAACGCCAACGGTGCGCGCTGCGTGAAAATGAAAGATCATAATTAAATATTGAGCATCTATTATCTTCCTGCGCAGAGGGCAAACTAGTTGCACTCGACACGCGACGCGAAAAATAATTGCGCGAAATTTTTTAAATAATATTTAATTCAGCGCGGCGCTGATTAAACACATTGGTTAATATTGATCAGCCGCCACCACTAATCAAATTCGATAGAGAGGAATTTGCACAGTAGAGTATTGGCTATTGGCTTGGCGCGATTAATTAACATTATACGTATTTGTATCGCGATTGTTTCACTGTCCTGAATCTAGTCATCTATTTTATTGCCTATTCTGTGATGGAGTAGATTATTTGTGAATTAATTACAATCATATGATTAAAATAACACAATTCTATTGGGATATGTTTTAACATATTTAATATTATGGTTTTTAATCACATTTGGTGTTGATTGTGATTAATTTCATCAAGAAATATACATTTTATGTGATTTGTGATGCCATCTGGTGTGGAATAACAAAGTATATTGCTACTACCGAAAGAGAAAGTCATGCCTCGCAGGTTCAGGAGGAATAGCGTTTAGTTTGGTTTAATTGGTGCAGATGGCGCTGCTAGTATTGATTTGCTGTGTGTTTTGGGAAACTGCTGTAAAATACAGTAAACTGTAATTTGGTTTCATGAATTAAAAACAGAAAATAACCAAATTTAAAGACTTCTGTAAGTAAAAAATTAATGCAGTTCTGTAATAAATTTTCACTTTTCCTTTTAAAATATTATTAGTCGTTATTTTATAAAAACACTCATAAAACACCAATGATGTTTTGAATATGCACAAAGTTTTTATATCGTTTTTAGTTTATTCACTTTTCGGTAAGCATGGGCCACCACCATGCCGTGAAACATTTTTAATCAAAAAACTTTACTCTCGTATTTTTATGGGAAAGAAAACTCCAAAAGAGGGAAACAATTTATTGGGTAGTTTTCCTTGTTCTCCATCAACTCTCACTAGTATGTATATTATATGTATATATATGAATGCAAAAACGTACGAGATAAATTTTTGTATTTTTAACACAAATAATAAAAAAAGATTGAAATTGAAAATAAAAATTTGTAGAAAATTGAAATTTATATCCTTTAGCGTGCAATGTGCACCATTCGCGCACTAAACATAAAGATGTTCCGTCGTTTCGTTGGCGGCGGCAAATAAAAGCAGCCCGTAACGGGACACAAAGTAAATGGTTATTGATGATAATATGAATATGCGCGGCGTGTGCGCGCGCGTAGCGTTCGTGTATTGTTAGCTGGCGCATATTCGGCGGCGGGGCACTGAGGAGAATCTAATAGTGCATAAATTTGGCGACGCGCGCGTTCGGCGCGGGACAATTTGTTTCTCTAATGGCTCGATGCCATTACAATATGATCGGCGCTTGGCCGGCGATGCGCGACGCACACGGCGATATGGCGCGAGGGGTCTGCGCGGTCCGCAGTCCATCAGAGCGATGGCACGCTGGGGAAATTCGGCATTCATGATGTGATTCGCGCTGCGCGCCCGCCATCAATAACTGCGGTGTGTTGCGGTCCTGTATTCGCACGCAGGGATATGCAATCCGATATGGTGATGCTGCACTAATGCCCGTGGGTGCGGGCGGGTGATCGGGCGGTGATCATTGTCATTACGCTTCGATTGCGGCGACGACGAGTCCCTGGGCACCAAGACGTAAAAATTAATTTTTAAACATTTTTAGACGAAAAGATTTTCGTCGCTTGTGGCCGTAAAGTGTAAAACTGCCACTTGTCATGCAGCCTGCTGACAGTTCGACAATGTGATGCTAAAGCGGAATTAATGCTCGGTTTTTATGATTTGCGCCATCCGTCCCGCCCGATCGTGCAATAAAATAGTGATTACTGTAACGAGTGCGATTATCGATGACGCTACCGTCTGATTCCCACAAGAATTTCTCTCAAAAAAACGTAAAAAACATTTTTTTCCTTTTTGCGCAGTTTCTTGATTAGTTTTGTATTGATTTGTTGTTGTTTGCTAAATTGGCAATTTATTAGCGCATTATTCAATTTCATTCATTAAACCGGCGTGCGGTGAATAGGTGCTTCCGGTGGCTGTTGACACCGGTCATTTCGCATCCTTGCGGGCGGCAATATTGCGCTGGATTACGACGATGTGTCTTTGTCGTTGGCTACCTCGCGACGCCGTTGGCAAGACGTCAACGTTTTATCAACGCCCATACACGATGACAGCATCAGCACTATCTCAACGAATATTACAAGAGGTGCAATTTTTAAAATGCTTTCAATTCAATTTATTGCATTTTCGCTTGTTTTATTAGCCCTGAAGCAAAAAAAAATAAAATAATTTCTGTTTAAATGTAATAAAAAGTTAGTTTACGAGATGTTAATGTTGTGGAATGTGAGTTGTATGTTTATACGCATTGTTGGTGGTAACTAAGTGAAAAAAGCAAGAACGACTAGTGACTACATAATTATCAAAGCAACTTTTTGCAGTCCTCGGTGGACGGCACGAAGGATTTATTGTTGCGGTGTAGGCGGCCGGAGGTGGCGACGCTGACCATGGACAGTGCGCTGGGCCTTCGCCGGTGCAGCACCTCGTCTGCCCGACGTGTGCGCCTGGCAGATTTATAACGGCGCCGGCCGCAGGCCGCCGGGGTGATTTACAAACCGGGACCGCGAGGTCCGCGATGCGATGCGCGTTGTCTCCTGTCCCGAGCGCCATACGTTGTACGCGCGGGTCCCCAAATCTGCTCGCCGTCATGAAGAGAGTCCAAGTCCAGAGTACAGCAAAGCGAAAAGTGAAGTGGAAAGGGTACTGCTCGTTGACAAATGAGCTGGGAGCTTTCGTCGCTTTACTCTTCATTCTATAAGCTTTGGGTGCTGCTTCAGCAATGGCCAATCTTGTGCTGCATTAGACCAGCTTAGTCGCGCAGATCTGTTGATCTCGCGTTGATCCACCGGTTATTAAAAGCGTGGACAATGCGACGAGTAAGTCGCATGCAGTTCAGTGCATTGTGTGTGTCCTCGCCGCGTGCTGACAAAACGGTCGAGTGTTTACCGTCCGCGGGCGTTGCGTTTTGCTGACGCGTTGGTGAAGAGGCGAAACACCCAAGGTGCACTCCGGCGGGCGGCAATCGGCGCACATTATGCGGCCGAGGCGCCCCGACCACATAAAACTACGCCGAAGCATGGAAACTCCATTACAGGAAAGCTATACTCGTAAATCTGAGGCTGAGAGTGGCGCTTGGCGGCGGTAATAGACCAACGCGACGACGACTGCCCGCGAGCATTCTTTCGCGGACCTCAAGTCCGGTCAGACCGGTCAGACCGGTCACCAATCGATTTCATTCACGTTTTTACGTTGCTTTTACGTGCGATTTTATTTCAAGCATATGTTTATTGGCAAATAACCCATCGGTGATAACTTTCTGTATCATCAGTTGTAGTGAGATGAATTCTTGGTAAACATTTCTTAAAAAGGTTACTGAAAGATAAGAAAAGCAACAAGTTTGGATAGTGGACAATCAAAGAAAGAAATATTTTACAAAAACCCATAATAAAATCAAAATTTTGGAAACATATTGATAAAAACTGTAAAAAACTAAGAAAAATTAAGATAAACTCGTCGCAAAAAGAAGAAAAAAGCAACATAACCTCAATAATGATCTATAAACATTAAAAAACAGCTTTGACCATCAATTATTCTATAAATTAACATTTTCTGAACAGTAATCTTCTATATTTTTAATTTATTTTTGTTTAAAAATTCAAAATATCTTTTAAAACATCAAAAATTTCAGAAAAACCAATTTTTTGAAAAAAAATATTCCCCATAATCATTATTTCAGTAAATAAATTTCCTTCATGACTATAAAATGCAAATACAAGTAAAATTTAATATCCCTATTAATTTGTAATAAAATTAAATCTTTAGTTGATGATTGGGGCAGGTTGGGGCTTGACTCGACGACACCTTATCAACTGATTAACCGCTGAGCGTCGCATCGCGTAATTAACGCGCATTCATCGGTGCATGCGACCGCCGACGCGTGCGGTTGAAGAATCGCATGCGCGGCGCATTGCTGCCGGCGGCTGCGAGCGCACCGCGCTTGGCCCGTCACACGTCGCGCGTATCTCTTCGGCGGCGGCGCTTCCACCGCCTTCGGTGCAGTGCACGCGCCCGAGCGCATCTCAACACCCGCGATACGCGCACAATAAACGCACAAAATAAACTTTATCAACAAAATTTTAAAAAAAAATTTCGGAAATAATTAGTGTTAGTTAAAAATTAAAAATAAATAAACTGTAAGTAATTAATGTTTATTTATTTATTTATACTAATATTTATTTAGTTCTGAAATAATAATAATATGGATTATTTATTTATTTATTTATTATTTGATATTTTTAAGTTTTATTTTCTTTTAAAGTGAATGTAGTATGCTTTGTAGTAGCCGCGTAGAGTCAAGAATTTATAACGCAAAAGAGTGCAGGAAAGTGGCGGAAAATTCAACGCCGCCGCCGTTGCCGCTCGCCGGCCGACGCGGAACGAGTCAGAGTGATACATTATTACTTAAATTATGCGCATTATGCCGCCGCGCTGGGAATGCAAAAGATTAAATACTCAAAGAAGCTCAACAGGGAGCAAAAAGTGAGGGGCAAGCGCCTCGCCGAGGGGTTGAAATTGTATAGATGAGTTATTGAAACAAGACGAACTCCAGCGCCCAGACGAAGCATTACAAGTCAAGTATTAGCCTTTTTAGTCGCTCAAAATGCTTTGATTTAGCTTTCATCCCTTCGAAAATTTCCACCGTACTTAAATACCACTTAAATTTTATATTATTTTCGGTAAAAAATTTAAATATTCTTACGCCTATTGTTAGTTATCATCCCTTATTTACTCATTCACACAATCATGTCCCTGGAGGAGTATTCTGAATGCGACAAGAGCACTCCACCGCCCCGCGATCATCGTTACCAGTCTTTATCTTGCCTTCATTAGCGGCTCCCAGTTTCAACAACTGTGCGCACATCCATTGCCTGCCTTTTGTTGCAAAATATTTAAATCTCTAACAATATGCATTGTGTGCACGGAGCACGTTCCGCTTTTTAAACTACGCACATTCAACCGAAATGAACACTTAAAAATGTCGCGCGCGCAATCCCTTTGAGAAAACTTTATCGTTAATAATATTAGGCGCAAATCGCGAGTTGCAGATGACAATGGCGGCGGCGGCGGTGGGCGCCAGCGACAAAGATGCTCTTAACTTTGTTACGTCGGCACGCATTAGCATCTGCATGTTGACGTCGTATATCAAATGAAATATAATTATCCGGCACGTTTGTACATTTTGTTTCGTTTCTATATTTATACTTTGCGCTGGGTTGCTACTTTGGATACACGTCTAAGCGTATTATCATTATCATAATTTTGTATTGTCAATGGGGGAGGCAATTGATTTTGATTGTTCGGAAAACATCATAATCAGAGAGAAATTTTAAAATGTTGCAAATAAAATAATTTTTTAAATTTTTTGGTTAAAATTTTACTTTTTGAAGTAAAATATTGAATATTATTGTACAAGTACTTTATTTTTTTATTGCCTAGTGCCTAAAATATTATGTTTTCCTCTTTTTTTCAACAAAAAATGTAAAATTTTGTATTTATCCATTTTTGACGGTCAAAAAATCTCAATATCACATTTAGTACACATTTAGTTAACGTGGAAATTATTTTGTTGCAACTGATGCAACTGATGCAACATTTTGCATCAATGACAGACAGATGAAACTAACCGTTGAATGTAAATAAACGATTGGAATACGCATCAAGCAGAATGATTTTTGCCGTTAAATAAAACATGACATTTTGTACATAGACAAAGAGTATTAAGTAACTACAAAATTTTTCTAAATTTTTTACTGGAAATTTAATGTTTTCTTAGAAATACCACATTGTTATAGTTTTAATGAGGAACTAAAATAATACGCTTTATAAAACTGAAGGTATTCAATTCTTTTATGTAATATTCCACCAGAAAAAAGGAGAATATAATTTAAAATCGATTATTTTTTCCTGTGGCAAGTGAAATGTTTATTAATTAGCAGATTTTGTATAATATCTACTTGGTTGTCGGGTGTATGAAGCACGGTAACAAATATTCTGCTCTTGTGCGCGTAGCGCATTGAAGTCGCGAACAATGCGAACGCGCCGGGCTTCGCCGATGAACCTATTAATAAATATTCCGGCCGCGTGTGCGACGTACACATCGCGCATTGAACGCGCACACGTCGCGCATTATTGGTATTACTTACGTGCACCTAATGCCGGTGAATTAATTAAGCGCGTTTTGAAAAACTATCAGCATATCAGCGGAACAAAACGTTTCGAGCTTTACGCGCGCGTGGCTGAATCCGAGTTGATGTTTCATTTGTTTGCGATGTTGGACACAGGACACGGATTCGTTTTTCGTTCGGTAAAAAGTAGTTACACACATGTTGCGCGTGGCGAATATTCGCGTGTTACACGCTCGCAGCCTCGAGCGCTAATGAAGTTGAAATGTTTCGAGGGGCGATTTAATTTCCGTCATCATAATGCTCACTCTTCGTAGCCGCGTGGAGTTGGAGGTTTTTGTTGATAGAATTCAATTAATTTTGACGGTTAGTTAACGAATGTTGGCTGGTTTTTGCCTGAAAGTAGCGGTGAGCTTGCGGCGGTGGTGGATGCGCCGGTCTAACGTGTTATTACAGGTACATCGCTAAATATTGAATGCGGTGGAGTCATTAATTTAGTTTTTAGTGGGTGTATACTCAAGGGTAGAAAGAAGTTACACTTGAATGAGTATAAAAGAATATTGATGGCACTATTAAGATGATAATTAGTTGTAATCAAATTCGCTTTTCAGCGCTTTTATGTGCGTTTTACGATGGTGGCAGACAAAAGTTTTCTTTGCAAGTTAAATGTTAAAAAAACTATCTTTTTCTTGGAACTGGCAAGTTGATTCTTTTTATATGTATTTAGTGTTAAGTTCTTAGTAAAAAAATGGAAAAATTTGTTTGATAATAGTATTTTATCAACAGTTACGGACAAATTTAGAAAACTTTGTGAAATTATATTAATATCAATTTTGATTGCTTATAAATATATTTATAATAATTGTATCAACAAATTTTATTAACTATTTAATTAAGAATTTATTACTGAGTAGAATATTGAACGAATTTTGATTTAATTACAAACGGTATAAAAAGAATTAGCTAAAAACCATTAAAAATCAATTCATGTTCATAGCAATCGAATGATTCAACAAAAGAAAACAATTTGCTTTAGTTTTTTAGTAATTATTACAAAACAAAACGGTTTATCAACTTGTTTTCTTTAAAATATATATTTGACAACAACAATTAGTCATCTAATTGTTTAAATAAATTGTTAATAACATTGTTTAAATATGTCTTAATATAAAAATTTTTGCCATTCCCCGGATTTTTTCAAAATCAAATTTATTTTATTTATAACTTTTGACTAAATAACTACACAAACAAATTCATGATAAATAAAGACGTATAATTTTATTCTTAATCTTAATATATAAACATAATGTTGATAACGCAAATAGTTTTGGAGAAATTAAGAAAAAACCGACAACTTGCAACATACGTTTGCGTAAAACTTCTATTGCTCCCTTTGTGCGTTTTAGTTTAAATTGAAAATGTATCGATTCTTGAATAATCCTTGACGCTTTCTTGTCCGCTCAAATATGACAGCGCAAACTAAAGACACGTACTTGAAAGGAATGACTCGAGACGTCTATTATCACGTCGACACTAATTCTTGTCGCCGGTGACAAGCGCGGGCGTCCGTGCTCATATCCTTCACGTCACTCGCCGCGTCCAGATATTGTCAATCGGGGCGGCGTCGATAATAATGAAGTTCAAAATTAATTTCGATCAAATCTCAATCTCTGAAAGCCGCCGGGCCACACTAAGCCCGGAAGTAACTTGGACGCGGCGCGCTGTTGCATAAACTATTTTCGCGTGTCGCCGTTCGTGAAAAGGGATTATTAGTCGGGCTTATTTATGAGGGTTATCTGTTATGCGATAATACGGTTTATTTGCGCCCCCAACTCCGGCTTTAATTAAACGCTCGATCGGGGAGCCAGAGGGCGCAGCGCGCGCGCGCGTGGACGGTTGATAGTAAATCAAGCGCGCGAGTTTGATAAATAGCCGGAGTGTTGGCCGGCGTTATCGCAGTTTTCGGCCCTTTGGACATTCGCACAGGTGCAACCACACCATGCATACGTTTAGTCACATACACATGGCAGAGTATAACTTGTAATGCATTTTGATTGTGAAGCGAGTCGAAGCGAGTCGCCGAAGCTAATGCTTCCGCAATCCGGTGGCGGAGTTTTTGACCGGCGGCGGCTTATCGTAGCTCAACCAGCACCACCGCAGTTGACAACATGGTTCAACTTTTAATTCCCTGACAGTCGAATATCTCCTTCGCCTGTTTGTTCTCCCCAACCAACCAGATTTCTAAGTTCTGAGAAATCGAAAAGGCGAGAAATGAAAAATGCGATATCTGTCATCGCCGGCGCGCTAAATATTTGACCCAGCACCGCGCGTACGCATTTAAAAATCTAATCCATCAAGCGCGCCAAGTTTTCAATTATAACTTGGTTGACGCATTTATCAGTCGGCGGCAGCTCGGCATCGGAGGTTTTTTGCTGTTTTTACTGGTGTGTTTTCTTCGGAATTTGCAAAGTCGCACAGGTTGATGGGTGGGGTGGTAAATCGAGACATATATCGGGATTTGCGCCGGTGTCGCTGAGTAATGGGTATCGCGATCCGACCGATATTCAATATAACAACATCGACACAGCGCCAAGGCGAGAGATAAAACTTGTCAGCGAACAAAGCTCGCGACGCCACGGCGCAACGCTCTCGAGATGGGAATTACGAGGTCCTCCAGAGGTGTGTTTCGAGAAAAACGCAGATTGGATGCTGGAGAGATTTTGCGATATCTGCAAACGCATCGCAAGCGCATTTCATTACCTGCGCGCATAGTAAAATGTGCTGCTGCTGGGGGTGGTGGGTGTTGAAAGGACTTTTCACAGCTTTTGCGCCCCGCTGACAAATCGGGTTTCACGCTATGTGGTCGTAATTGCGTTAACGGCTGCCGCTTACTGTCCGCCGAATCAAAGACAATGATAAATTATGCCCCCCTTCGGCCATTACGCTGCCATTATCCTGCCGGCGGCAGCGTCTTCGAACGCCTCCTTAATTCATTGGTCATTAAGACTGGGCCCGGAATTTTTGCGCTGATGATCTCTGCTCGTGGCATAATTCCAAACGCGCATCAGCCGCCACAAGATGCACGTATAATTTATGCCGCCGGCGAAGCTAATGAGCTCGTAGATGTGATCCTTTTCATTTTCTGCTTGCAGATTCCATATCGTCGGGCAGCGGAGATGTGAAGCATGTTTGTGGAGCCGGCGACGACTGCCGCCGCGCCGCTGGTGCTGCTTCTACTAGCCACTACCATTGGTAAGTCCCTCATGTTTTTATTTTTACATTTTTTCCCTCAAAACTATTCTAGGACCGTTTGTCTTGCGCGCCATTATTTTCTCGTCGCGTTGTGCAATCTTTTCGACAAAGCCGCTTGTATATTTTCTTGTATCGCGCGGCGGGGAGGCTGCTTTCGCACGCCGCCTCTGTCGAGGGCTATTACGCGACTTTATGAGCCTCGCTCGCGCGATATTGTTACACTGTCTGTAAATAGAGTCGAGAGTTGAAAGTGGTAGAAACAACCGGTAAGCGCGACGGAAGTTCATACGTTTCAAGCGAGTGTACAAGGTGCTAATGGATGCCGACAAGACGCACTCGTCGACACAGATAAGACCCTGCGACGAGTAAAGTTACCTTTTGGGCTTATCAGTCAAAATTCAGAATAAATTATTTCAAGCGGCGCGGAGTGAGAAAAAATTGATGTCGCGACCCGACAACATAAATACCAGCGCAGTTTAGAGTACAACCCCGCATTGCCAAGCGTGAAGTTATTATGGGTTAACCTCTGCGACCATAACAAATTGTAACCCATTTATTTCCACCGCCCGCATTCCACGCGTTTACTAATTGCCGGCCAGGATAATACCCAGTTACACATGGTCATCGTCATATTTCAATTAATATGATCCGCACGTCTATTTTTCTCTCGTATAGAAACCGAGAGAGAGATGCAGGGATAGATAATCAAGCGGTTCGTAAGTGAGTCGCGTTTTGGAAAGTTGGTGGAGGCGCCGGGCGGTGCGCACCTTGCGCCGCCGAATGTCGCCCGGCTCGCCTCCGCCTTTACTGTGTCGCACTCATCCATACTTCCGGGAGTTAATTAACTAGCTTGGAGGAGAGAGCCGAGATCTCGCGCGCCGCATTGATCGGATTGCTGTTGTGGCTTATTCAAGAAAATCCCTTCTTGTTAGACTGCACGCAGACATCCACCGGTGTATCGTACCTTTAGTCGTGCGCTTTGATTCTGTCCCATTTGCATACGCGCTTATCTGCGAAACTCTTTGCCCGTCCCCATTATTTAACTGTCTTCATTAAAACTTGCCGAAGGTACAAGCGGCATGCACAGGGTTAAAACACGTTTAAAATTTTATTTGAAGAAGCCGTTTAAATAAAAATGCATATAATAGTATTTTGAGGTTATGGCTTTGACGTTTGACGTTTGATTAGCGACATCTACTGGTTTGTAAAATTTTGTTTTGATGAATGATTGTGACATGAAATAATTTACTCGACATTCGACACTCTGTGCGTGTTTAGTGCCCATTGAACGACTGCAAATTTGTTGGGTTGTAACTATGTCGCTGTGATTTTTTTTTTCGCAGGTTTTTCGTTGTTGACAAAACACAGTATGTTAATAAATTGTGATTTTGTGATTTTTCCATCTGCGAAAATTAGCGCGCCTGGGGAATACGCGCTTTATTGGTCCGAAATTGGCAAAACGTCGAAAATCCGCTCGCACTTTTATTCAGCCCATTGGAAACGTGCGCGCGGGCGAGTGGCGGACGGGCGGAATCGCCGAAAGTGAGTGATTAATGTGGCCGTTACGATTGCACGCGTACGAATCACGTACGAAACGCGCGCGTTACTCGCAGGCGCACGCTCGCTGGATGGCAAAAAACTATTTATTTACGTGTCGCCATCTCGTCGAAGCAGCACGACCTTTACTGTATGTGTATGTTTGTTGGTGAGTGCGATAATGATGATAAAAAGTTGTGATGCGGTGCGATGCGTTTGATTTGAATAAAGTTGATGTGTAAGTGTGTGTGTTTTGCGGGGTGCAAATAGTAGTTCGAATGCGGAATGCGTCTTAATCCTACACGCGCGGGAAGCAGTATTAGCGCGTTATTTGCACATCGAATGAGTGGTTGTGTCACGGGGTAAGTGGCAAAAGGGTGAGAGAGCGTCTAATGGTATTGACACACCAGCTCAGTACCTCTACTACAAACTCACAAATGTTAAATTTTCACATCGAGATAAATTTTTCAACTAAAAATCAAAAAAAAGTTAAAATTGTTTCAGTCAACTTTGTTGTTTTCTTGTTTCCTGCCGTCGTGAGATTATGCGCATTAACAAACATCTATCTGTGGCGCTATGTTAGCCCGGCGCCTTCACCTTGCGATGCGCCGCTTTACGATCGCAATCTCCGCACGCGGATGCCCCAAAACGATCCCGCCACGATCGCAAAACGAGATTCGAAATACGACGGCTGCGTTTTTACTGCTGTTGCCACCTCTACGTTTAAGTTTGACTTCAATTTTGGGCTGCGGATGCGTTTTATAACTCTGCACGTACACAGCCTAGTGAGGTAATACTTGACAGCAAAGTATCCCACCCAATTCACGTATTCATGAAAATATGACAATGAACGCTAGCCGCCGCCGTGGCCCGCGAAGACGCTTTATATATTTTTCCGCGGCTTTATTATTTTTATGCGGCACTTTGGTGTGCGCGTCGCGGTCTTATATAAAACCATATTTTAGCGCCCCGCTGGAGGCACCTTTCGGAGAGTTTGATCCCTCCGACCGCGCGCGACCAAAGACCGAAGAGTTGCGGCGGCGGCAAGTGAGTATATATATATTGTGGAGCGTTTTGCCATCGCCTGAGGCGCGCGCTGCCTCGCACTTTAGATATCGCCAGAGTGTTAAGTTCAGACCGCGCCACAGTCACCAGCAACTCAACTCAACTCAACTCTGGAAAAATGTTTGCAAAGTGCACCGTATCCATTGGTTGTGATATGCCCGCAGGTTGTTTTAAACAAAACGCTTAAATATTTTATTTTTATCGCTGAAAAAATATTTTTAACTGAATATGTGTGGTTTGGGTAATATACTCATCCTGTAATCAACGTTTGCTGACTAAGTTTGGCAAAGACATGCAGTGCGTCAAGCACGTTGTCGCGCCGTCGGCATAATTATCGCCAACGCGGCCGCTTGATGAAGCGCTGTCGATTGATTCGGTCGACACGCGCGCTCGCTCGCGATTAGCTTGCGCTAATTTCGATTAGCAGCTATGCAGCGAATTGAATTACACGCCCGCCAAGAAATTGCAGATTTTGACGCGGTGACGGCGACGCCATTACAATTTCGACTCACACCCACACGCGACAACATCTTGCATGGAAATTTCAGCATTCGCGGTTAAATCCGACGAAATTATTCGCATTTATTCATAGTTATTTAAATTAAAGCAGACGTTGCGCGCGGCGTTGAAGTTCAGGTAAAACGTTCGCGTCGTGCTGGAAGTTAGTTCGCCCAGCTGTCTCTCACTTTTATGGATGACAAAGAGCGCTCCGCGCTTCTGACGTTATATCCTCGCCGGCTGCCGTCGCGCTATGCATCTTTGAGGACGATTTGCGGCGACTCGAGCGCATACAATGGCGGCGCAACACACACATCTTACACCTGAATCTTTTTCTTTCTCCTGTGTCGCAAGATCCCATAGAGAGTTTATCGTGTGTACACTGTGGTGTGGTGACCCTGTACCAGGTTGCTCCCAACATTAGTTCCATTTACCGTTTCGCGTTCAGTGTTGGTTGCACTATCAGCTACTTTTCGCTATGCGCCAGTCTTTAATAACGTCGATATTAAGTAGAGCGCTAACATTGAGCATTACGAGCGTGTGTTGTTGTGTTCGGTCCGTCGAGCAGCCCGAATGGGAATGCGCGCGCTCTTATTAACATTGCCCCATGAGGAAACAGGCGGTCGTCGGCAGCCTGACCCAAGTGTCTTCTAGTTTAATCGGGCTCTAGCCACCATTAGCACTCCAGCCAACGAAATGTGCTTCGATATACACAAAATAAATTATTTAATTTTTTTTTGAAAAATTAAAATATCTTACAACGACAGGAATAGAATATAAACCGGTCAGGAACATGCCTCCGGGTCAGCCGGTCCCAAATTCAACCCTCGTAATACTGTCGCTCGCACCTCATTTATTTAAATTGCAGGCGAATTAATCGGGCCGAAAATCCGGCCGTAACGAGCAAATGAATCATGACTAATATACTACGACTAGTTCAACCCTAAAACCGGTTTATACTCCTATGAAAATCAGGTATGCACTACTCTTTTCCACTATTCTCTTGAGAGCAGCGCTGAGTACATTCCGAGAACCGAGTTGAAGTTGAAACCTCGAAACCTGATTTCTAATAACGATAATGCCGCGCCGAGACACTTCAAACCAAGTCTTTGGCGCTAATGAACTCATTACCGAAATCAAATTTTGCACACACATGCGCTGTGTGGTGGAAATTCTGCGAGTCGTAAAGCCCGGCTCATCGAAAGTTGCAATTTGTACGGGCGGTCCATCATGGGTTCTTCGGGAACACCCCGCGGGGTAATAAATCTTGACTTGCTTGTTTTTTCCTATTTTCCGATGCTCCGGAAGGTAACACACAAGCGCAACACATGGCGGAAAGGTGTCTAACATCCGGTGCTTGTATTAAACAAACCTGTTGTTGATTTTTAATTCCACGCCCAGGTTATTGATCATTTTGAGAGTCTCAACGCGTTTTACGGCACTTTAGTGCAGCATAAATTTAATCCTCAAAAGTATTTTGTTTTTAGTTGGAAATCAAATTGTTGTTTAATTAAACAGAATAATCCGGTAGTGTTGCAACCTACACAAGTAGGGAAGTAGAGGAAAGGGACGCTCCCAGGACATCAACAGGGGAATTCTATTGTCCTGTCCTGACCGTCACATGCGCCTCCATAGCACGAGTCCTGTACACGCGCAGATAAATTAGAAACACGCCGATTGTCCTATCATTGGGCGCATTCGCCGGCTGTTACCTCGCGTGCTCATGTTATTAAATTCGATGGTCTATCGAGTTATTCGTACACACAAGGAACAAACGGACGCAGGACGAGAATATGAGGATCATACACAGTTAATCTCAATATCGCGTACTCCCAGCACACTCTAAATATATGTGACGTTGTGTGTTATGTTGAGTTTCTCTGTCTATTTTTAGCCATTTTTTTGGCGTGGTTTTTATGCAAGTTTTTTTCCTCGGGCGTTGGAGGGAAATATGACAAAAGGCAAACGAAAAGAAATGCGTTCGGTTATTATATGTCTGCGTATGGATGATGAAATTCGGAGACGTTGCGCACAAAGCATTTCGCCGCTGCCGTCTCCCACCAACGAAACGGATCAAGTCATTGCGTTCAAATCAACATCATGGAAGATTTAGGCGTCATTAGTCTTCATTACGCCGGACCGCTGCGCGTCGAGCTTTTTGCGCTGTTCGGCGCTGTTCAAAAGTCGCCGCCGCCACCGTCGCCTGCGATGGTGAAACCGCGGAGAGCGCGCAGAATGAATGGCGCAAGCTATTTGTATTTTTCTATGTCGGAAATTTATTTAGTCGGACAGAGCGATAAATAAGACGTGCGGCGGCGGAAGGCGGTATGTCGCCTTTTTTTCTTGCGCGCTTGATACGCTTGATATTTTCATCAAGAATACACACTTTTCGCTTGCGTTTTCTTTGGCGCAGACATTTCATTTATTAGTCTGTGTTCCAGACTCTTATATCCACGGAATCGCTAAGTGGAATACTTTGTAAAAAGGATTATTTTGTGTTATACGCGTCCATTAGCGTTATTAGTCGCGTGTCGCTCATCCGTTTGCATTTCCTCACTTCGCAGCAGCGTCAAAATCGTAAACTCGTAAACTTCCGATCCTCGATTGTCGATCGTCGGGGTGTGGGACCCTTCTTCCTTTATCTTTACAGGCGAAGCCGATAACCAACTTGGCATTAAACCTGCCCACAATTAAACCCGCCGCATTCATCGCATTATTGTCTTCGGATTGATTTCGCAAAAGTCTGAAAAGAATCCGGAATATAATTTCGGCTGGCATTTAATGAATTATCATCATTCGGTCTTCGCCACGCGCGCGATAATTTCAACGCAAAGAATAAAGCCGAGAAGGCGAACGTCTGGCGCGCGCATTTTGCATTTATCAAGGCCGCGGCACATGGCACTTCAATAACGTAATTAAATCCGCAGAATGGTCCCTTTTTGAAATATTGCCCACAGTGCCCCGAGCGAGGATATTATCATATCCATCGGGCGCGCACCAAGCAGCCGGCTCTCTTTTTCTATTCCCTAAGGAGTAAGCGAATGGCGCACAACGACAGTCGCTCAGCGGACGTTCCAACGTCAAGCGAAGGAACGAAGTAACATTAAAAATTAAATTAACCGTCAAATTAGATCTCTCTTTTCCACTTTTGTTGCATTTTTTATCATTTTTAGTAGGGACTCGAGTGTTGAATCAAAAACCATTTTCGAATGCGATGTTTTAATGTCTGGAAAGCTCTCAGAATAACTTCTAATAAAAAGCATTGTTTGTTGTCTCTTGTAATGATTATTGCAGCGGCAATTCTACAGTTGTACTTACTAGTTATGACATAGTTTTTCATACATTTAGTTTTTCCCCGCTGTTGCCTTCCATATTTCCGTGACAGTCGAAATTTTACGACGATATATTTGCAGCCCGGCGCCTTCACCACGCCGCGTTTCACTCAACTCATTAAGATATACCGCGAGACGTGAACTCATTTCGTACATTTCAAACATAAATATTCCTAGTCGTGTAGAAGTAACCATCTTAGGGGGGTGTACGTTGCACACGGCGTGCGCTAAATGCTTTACCATCGCACCGCAAACGTGTCGAGTTTCTTTGCTTCCCAAAAGAAAACCCTGCAGCTGTGCAAAACTGGAACCACGCATGAAGAGGAAAAAATGTTTTGCCACACCCGTCGAAAAAATGAACTGTGTTGTGCATATTTACATTCAAAGTGTATTTTGCGCGCGTGTAATGAGCCATTTCCATTCCGGGTGAATTCGTTTGTCTACTTGCTCGACTGGTTGCCCGCCCAGATGGGAACCGATCTAAATATTAGCTAGGTTATGGTATATTTCAAAGCGCACGTGAACTCTTCCCGTGATGGACGACAGAATGCGATCGAGGTGCAGTCGAGCATGGCGATGTGCACCATCAGGTGCTGCTTCAAGAGTTACAATTGCGATGTGCTCAAACTACGAATGTTCATTAAACACTAAAATATTTTGCACAAACTGAATTAAAAATTATATTTTCATAAAATATTTATTTATATTAACTAGGTGGGTATATAATTAGCATTAAATGAATCCGCGCCGCCCGCAAATCCAATTTGCGTTAACAATGATTAAAGCGCGCGACAATTAAACTAATGATCGGTTTGATGACACAAACGTATGAATACCGCTCGACTCACGTCGGATGCGGTTGGCGTGCGCATATGTGAGGTTATGTGCGAGTTTTTCACGAGGCAACCGGCTGTGCATCGCTCTGACACGTTGCAATTACACGAATGGAATGCGCGACGCGCGCCGCACTCCTGAGTGATTTGCAAATAGCCAATTGCCCGGTCCGCACTCCAAACACGTACACGAGTATTCACCTCCAGCCAAAAGCGCCAGCACTACCAGCATACGCCCGTCCGTCTGTTCGTGGATTACAATTACGTGCATTAAATGGATATACAAAATGCACACACGTGTGCAGAGTTCATTTAAGTGCTTCGCTACAAATCGTGTCTTGCATGTTTGCCAAATTTACCAGAACTCTAATGCAGTGTGTGCTGCAGTCACAATTGAATTATAATTTTTATTTTATTTGATTTTTATCACACACCCTGTAGGAGGTATGTTGTTGGATTGTTCGAGATAGTTGAGATAAGTTCAGCTCAGAAATTTGGCAACCGGAATCATATGCACTCATAGTTTGGACGGATGTTGAATGTGGATGTGGAGGAATGAACGGACGGTCAACATGTGTCGGTTCCGCTTTACCGCTTCGGGGGGCGCGAGCGCGCCGACCGCAAGGATAAAGTTTTAATGCACTAATCACCCTCCCATCCTGTGTTATCCTCGCATCCAGCTATCATTTAACCTCAAGCCCTGAAGTAAACTAGACGCGGGTATCTACTCCTGCTCAAGTAAAGCACAGTCATTTGAATGCACAAATTCTCTGCATTTTGAAATTATTTCACAAAAATTATTCTGTCATAATCATATAACCAACAAATTGCTTTTTTGTTGTGTTATTTAGACATTGTTCATGTATAAAATTTAATTTTTCTAATTTTTGTAATTTTATGCCCGGCGCCTCCACATTTTGAAACTTTTTGTGAAAATATTACTATTCTACTCATGATGAGCCGTGATTGCTTGTGTAACACTAAAATAGTGATTTTTAGTGCCCAGAACTAGATTATTTCGGAGCACCCCACCTGCACCTATCGTAAAGTCAAAATCACGAATTTCTCGGACGTTGGCGGATCGAAGCATGATCGGCATGCTTGTCAGCACCGCTGATGACGTGCGCGCACGTTGCCGACGTTGGCGAAACGTGCCGTCCCGGATCAGTAAAACACCCAAACATGCTTCGCATCGCAGCCATGCTGAAGCATTGTCGATTGCAGCAGGTGTTATTGTTGTCACTATAAATTATATCGGCGCAAGTTTACCAGTTCATAATGTCCTGTTCCTGCTCCGGAGAGCCAAGGCGCACCTCTGTAATTAAGTGCCGAGTCGACTAAGAGTGTAATTATAAACATTAGTTGTTTACACGCTTGTTTTATTGCGCGCGTAAAAATTTTAATTAATTTTTCAATCCATTTTGATAAATTATTATTTTTTCACTCCCAAAAATTTTATTTTAATTTTGTGGAATTTTTTGCCCTTTGATGGAAAAATATCTGTTTTTGTCCACTTTTTAATCGTTTGTCCTTTTGTGGTAAAGTTTGTGCGAGAGTTGTGAGCCGTGAGAGCGCGCAAGTTGCACGGAAAAATGAGCAAAAGTGTCGCGCAGCGCTGCGAGCAATTCTTAAAGAATTTAAGAGATAATTTTTAATAGAATCTTACGAGGAAACTTTTTGCGCGGACGTTCGTCGCCGCAGCCATTGCCACGTCGTTCGTGTCTTAATACAAATTTGCATGTTTTTGTTAATCCCTTGAAGTGTGTCCCGCGAAGTGGGAATAAAGCGTGTGGCATATTGGGGCGGACGGACGAAGGCAGTTAATTTGGAAAAGAGTTTTGCGGCTGTCGCGGCGGCGACGAGGCGGCGGCTGTCCGCACACTCGGCGCGAGACACGCGACAAACTGTTTTAACTCAACTTTTAATAAGTTAAAGGATTAGCCTAAGGCATTGCTGGTGCCTCGGCCAGAACCCTTATAAACTTGGCCAGACCACGAGACGTCTTGCTTCTTTCTATCGAAACGTACTCATTCGTGTTCTTTTACTCTTACACTGCCCGCTTTCAACGTTGCGTTTTCCGCTTTTTTTCCTTCATGCATTAGAAATAAGAAACGCCGAGCTTGAAAGAATAGAAAATGAAGGGTGCGAGCTTGCGGAATCTTTTGATGTGTACTTTAAAGCTTTAAAAAATCTTTCTGATTGATGGTTTTCTGTATGGTTCGCAGGTGTGGCATATCAGCCTGACTTTCAGGAGCCAATCACGAATCTAACTGTGCCCATGGGAAGAGATGCGACGTTTCGATGTCTTGTCCACCATCTGGGTGGCTATCGGGTAAGTCACACTTTAAAAACTCTCCATAGACAAATTTGTCTCGTTTCAAACTTGTCTACGAGGAGCAATTGAAAGGAAAAACTTTCAGGTGATGCTTTGTTTTTCTTTTCTTTGGTTTACTCTGCTGTGATATTTTTCACGGAGCTAAAATAATTGAAAATATTGAGCGTGGCGTGTTGGTCTCAACGGCGCGGGCATCGCCAACACGACCGCCACTGATAAATTGACTTCATGAGTGCTCTCCGATCCGTTCTACCTGTTGCTGTCGGTCGGTTGGGGTCGGCTCGCTGGCTAAAAACAACGCGTCCGCCATCTCATCCCCAAGGTTGCGAGTTGCAATATATTTCTCTCTGGTCTCGTTTCGACACTCGAGTATACCCTTCTTGACTTGACTTGAGTGTGTCAAAAAAAAGGTATTTATTTTATGCCATATTTTATTATCCATGAAGAGAAAATGGTCAATGTAATTTTTACGTTTGTTAAATGGTTAAATTTGAATTAATGCGGCTGGTTTTGTAGAGGTTGGTCGGGTTAGCAGGGTCAACGAGGCCATCGACGCATCTGCGCCCTATCAGCTGTCCGGTCGACGGCGCGCGCTCGCGACGGACGTAATAATAGTGCAGATATGACAAATGGCTGAAAAGCGCCACAAACTTGGGATCATTTATAATACACGCAGCTGTGTACAGTATTCACCCCTACGATTTTGGGGCGGTTTATTCCGCCTGCTCCAACATCCTTTCAGTTGTAGGTCGTGAAGTGACCGACGACACATCATTTTTTCGAAAATATTTTTAAATTTTGGCAAAACGCCCATTATTCTATCCCAAGATGCTAAACAGATTTCTACAACTCCAAGGACTATTTAGTGGCAAACCGTGTGCTGCACATGTTGCCACAAAACACGAAAAACACATGTTTAGGCAGACAAAGCGTCTATTGATCCACCCACCAAGTAGTTTCAATATCTGCATTGATATTTCATTTGGTTTGCTGGTGTGCGTGAGCGTCGCCAGATGGTCAGAACATCACGCGCATACCAACAACTTATTTCTACTGACGGTTCATAAAACTACATGCAAACATTTTTATTTCTTTGCAGGTGGGTTGGGTGAAAGCCGACACGAAGGCAATCCAGGCCATTCACGACCACGTCATCACACACAACTCGCGGGTGTCAGTCTCGCACAACGACCACACCATCTGGAACCTGCATATCAAAAGCGTGCAGGAAGAGGACCGCGGGCAGTACATGTGTCAGATCAACACGGATCCAATGAAGAGTCAGGTGAGTACCCAACTAACACCTCTAGTGTAGTAGTGGTTGGGCTGGTGCTAGACCCACGTCTTTCCGGCTGTTTATGTTTGCGCTTAGTTTAATTATGGTGCGAGTGGTATGCTAGGAGGGTTTATTTGAGTTCGGACTGCCCGTCTCGTCCTGTCTTGTCCCTCTGGACGCGTCTTGAGTTTGGACAGACAGCCCACCATGCGCTTTATGAGTGATGTCCAACTTTGTGTTTTGGTGTTGGATTTGATCCCTTTTCCAACTCACACAATGCATGAATCTTGCCGGCTGTGGGTGTGAGTAATCCCGACGCAAGTTTATCACGAGTTTATCATCAATTAACCTGCCGGCAAAAGGTCCAAAATAGCGTAAACTTGTTTATTTTGTATCAAAGGCTTTGGAAAGTGATTTTTTTATATTAAGTTGTTTCCGTGGACAGTGGACACAATTGAGTAATTTTCTATGACAAATTACGCACTAAGGAAAGGAAAAAAATCAGAAAGGAGTAATTGAAAGTGGGTAAATTGCATTTTTGTGGGTCGCGGCTCGCAGGTGGCGGGTTCTCAACGCTTTGCGTTCCTGAATCACGCTTCACTCTTTCAATTCTCCTTTATTAAAAGAAAACACGCGCTCGGGCTTCTACTCTCTGACTACGCCGCACATATTTTGAATGATATATGCGCTAGTAATTAAATTTAAATATACAGAGTGATTTAGTGCGTGAATTTTATTTTTTTCTATGTGTTTTCAGTTGGGTACTTTGGATGTAGTGGTACCGCCAGATTTCATTTCGGAGGAGACGTCCGGAGACATCATGGTGCCCGAGGGCGGAATCGTGAAGCTGGCGTGCAAAGCGCGAGGCCATCCAGCTCCGCACGTACTCTGGCGGCGTGAGGACGGTGAAGATATCATCGTGCGCGAACCCAACGGACAGCGTATCCGCGGTGAGTGCGGAAACCTATTTCATAAACCTCGTTTTTTTTTCTCGTTCGGCTGGAGGCGTTTGCGGTTTGCCACTTTAAAAGCGCCACTCGAAGAGCATTAATCCGCGTGTATTATTGCGTATTGCCCGGAAGCGATTGCGCGCCGACAACAATGATCGCCATTGTGTATGCTCGCAGACGCATATCGAGAGATCCAGATCCAGATCAATGGCTGCATCTCAGCCGAGGTTGCCGCCTTGCCTCCGGGCGGTTTTCTTTTTCGCACAATCGCAACGGGAGTCACACACAAACACTAACAGAAACAGGAGCAGACGACTGTGATACTCTTTGCAGAAAGAGCGCCCGAAGCGTGCGTGGGTTCTCTTTGTCACTCAGATGCTCTTTGTCACATGGATAGTCAACAGAGGTCGTTATGCTCTTTGGAGCGTGACCAAACGGGACCTACCAAAGGAACGAAATAATCGCCTTAAATTTCTTTCGACGACTTGCAAGTCAGAGGTCCATATAAAGACATTCGAGTATCACGGTAACCCTCAAAGCTCTAATCCTATTTTATTTCGCTCCCAAACTGAACATTGCATATTGCAAATTTTCCTAGAGTATGTTATTAGCTTATGCACTTTCCTAGTATATTCCCCAAAGGATTAAAATATGCTGCGTTGGATCCGAAATCTGCAAATGCTAAAATTATAAATCGATTTCAAGTCAACTATCTGCAACTTTTATTTTCTATTTGTGATAGTTACGCCGGAAATGGTTGGAAACCCATTGCGCCCTGAGTGGGTTTACACAAGTAATGATATTTTAACTTTATGAGCGCCCCGCGTTCGTTTTATGAATTGCGATTGCGAACCATCTGCGCTAGTATCTAGTGTCTACACTTTCCGGCATGCCCTTAGAGATGAAAATGTGATTGGCGCAAGCTTGTTCTTCATCTTAGAAGGTTTCCTTCTTAGAGTGCTCTTAGTAGTGAGAAAAGCTGCTGATAAAGATGAGAGGATTCCAACTATCAAACAAGCGCATCTTCAACACAAGAAAAAAGCTCTTATTGTGTTCGAGAAAATTTGCAAAACGTTGTTTGTTTACAGCCGTGTCCTATCAGGGCGAGATGCTGAAACTCGTCAAAATATCCCGGACGGAAATGGGTGCCTACATGTGTATCGCATCCAATGGAGTACCACCGACTGTAAGCAAACGGATTATGGTAAATGTACACTGTGAGTATCCACATCAAGATAATGCTTTTTCATTAAAAACTTTTTTTAATCATCCATTGTATCAACTCTGCTAAATCACCGATGTGATGATGGGTTATGAACTCGTGTTCACTTTGATATTATATAATAATAATACTGCTTTGGGAGGCGGCAAAAAGTGACCGATCATTATTCATCGTCACGGCTTTATTACATCCACTTGACTTTTGAACTTTTGCGCCCCGCCTTGTTGTTGTAGCAGGACGGGTGTTAAGTGTTTCGATGACGAAGCCCTAACCCTTTTTCGGCATGTTCACAGTCCATCCGGTGATACACGTGCCCAACCAGCTGGTGGGCGCTCCGCTCAACACTGACGTCGTCCTCGAGTGCTACGTTGAAGCCTCTCCGAAATCCATTAACTATTGGGTCCGCGACACGGCCATACCCGGTGAGTACCTCCAGGAAAAAATTCCTTAAATTATCGCGCAATTATAACTCAATGAACGTTTATTGATTGCGGAGGCTTTTTAATCACTGCCTTTTAAAAACAGTGCCCAAATTGGTTGGCGTAGATTAAAAGCATGCTTCCCATTAATCACGCGCCGCAGGAAGCCACGTGCCTGCCTTATTATCCTATTACACTATCCTGTTATCATCGGGATTAAGTAGCCACTCCTCGAAGTTTAATCGCACCTTGCAGTTTCCTATTGCTCTTTACCCGGGCGCTTCCGGGTTTATCATTATCGACAGCGCGATAATGCTAGTTAACAAGTGTGGTTGGGCCGCACCGCCGGCGCGAGCAATTTTGGCGGTGGGTGTAATTTCATTCCGTCATTCGAGACCCCATCATTGGCGCGTTTCCAGGTGGCGGCGGCATGGTCATCTCGAGCGCCAAACACGAGGTGAAGACGAACAGCAAGTCGCTCTTTGAGACCAAAATGATTCTCATCGTGCGCCATCTTATGCCGGACGACCTCGGCAGCTACAAGTGTATTGCGAAGAATTCTCTCGGGGAAGTTGAGAGCAGTATTCGGGTTTATGGTAAGTTACTATGTCAGTAGTTTAGTAAAGTTATTTAGTTGAAATGTTTTGGTCAGTAGTTTAGTAGAGTTAATTAGTTGACAAATTTTTTGTTCTTTTGGAGAGTTTTACATCAGTAAAATTTTTTGGTCAGTGGTTTAGTAGAGTCGTTTAGTTGACCCATTTTTTGGAATTTTTGCACCAGTTTAATATTTTGGTCAGTTGTGTAGTAAAGTTCATTACTGGATTACTTTTTTGACATTTTACACCAATTAAATATTTTGGTAAGTAGTTTAGTAGAGTTGACACGTTTTTCTTTGTTTTTGAAGAGTTTTACACCAATGAAAATACACACAATTTAATATTTTGTTAATAGTTTAGTATAGTTATTTAGTTGACACGTTTTTTTGTTTTGATAGTTTTGAGCCAGTTAAATATTTTGGTCAGTAGTTTAGTCAAGTAGTTTAGTCAACACATTTTCCTTTGATTTTCAGGCAGTAGTTTAGTCAAGTTGCTTAGTATGTTAACTTTCTTTCCTAGAAATCCCAGGCCCGACACGAATCGTTGCCCCGCCGGACGAAGAAGACTACAACGACCAAATCGGCTCCGCAGAGCGTGACCAGGACGAAGAAGTCTCCAACAGCGTGGCGGACCGCAGCCCGCACTCCAGCGGTGCATCCTCATCCTCCTCTTCATCGGCGTCTTCGTCTTCAGGCGGCAGTAACGTGATTGCGGTGCACGCCGGTGGCGCTCCACCGACCGTAGCAACACCACGGGGCACTTCGCTCATGAACCACGTCCCCGTTGACCCGGCGCCCAACACCGCCACCCACCCATTCTTCCATTCTGCCAAATTTATCGATACTGAGATCATCGCGCTATTCCTTCTCTATGCGACGATGCACTTCCGGCGACGTCGAATATGATCACGCAAATCAGCCGTCAGCGTACACTTTGTGTAGTGACAATAATCATCATGTTCAATTTGTATAATTTATTTTTTTACTCCAGTCTACTACGTTGAGCGTTCAAAACTAGATGATTTATTTGTTAAAAAGAAAAAGTTTCGAGTTGTATAAATGATTATTACGTACATAGTTGTCGAGAATATTGTATAATATGAGATATATAAGTGTTGGATTGGTTGCTGATATAAAACTAGCTTGTATGTATGGTTGCATTGCGTAAGCTACTGTAAACTACTCGACTTGAACACGGAGGCAACGTGGCAAAATGAAAGCGTGTGAGTGCAAGCATAAAATATTGAATGTGAGTTGTGTGTGACAGTTTTGCGGATGAATGTGGGATCATGTATAAAGATGTGGAACGGTTGAGACCATACAGTATGTTGCCTTATAATGTATGTCAAATGAATCGTAGATTCACAAATCGAAAAAAAAACATGTAAAATTACTACAGAACATAAGACATGAACGAACTAGATCAAATTTTAGCGCATACTAAGTACATAACGAATATATTAAGGTGTAATTACACGCAAGTAAACCAAAAGAAAAAAAAATGAAGAAAACATGACGATGAAGAATTTATGAAGTTGTTCGCTGGATATGTTATTGTATATCAAAGGCATCTGTTAATATATCTTATGAAATAAGTGCGAGATGCTGAATAAATCAAGAATTATCCTCGAATTTCATGCGAAAGCTTTTTTATGTCCGGGGAATTTGCGAAGATAACGCCAAGAAGTAATAAGCACTAATTCGACGTAAGTGACATGATGCGATGTGATGCGACTCGAGCTAATAGCTCTGCCGTTTTTACTTCTCATCCCCAACATCCTGCCATGGTGCTACGGAGTGTTTTTCCGGTTGGAAACTACAACATTTCGTTCGAGTTGACAAATCCGCCTACATCTACGATCTGGTAAATCCGCTAATTGCTTGATTTTCGATTTTTATCTCCGTAAATGTTGTACAGTTGTAACAGACGCGAAAACTTGGCGGGTGCTTGTGGCAAGTGTTTCTTAAGCCCGGGCTTCTGCGGAGTGTTGAACGTGATGCACGATGTGCAAGAGATAAAGTATTTTAATTACACGAGTGCTTCTAATCTGATGCTAATTTTGGTAGCCGACTTTGGAAACATCTGACGAGTGAGACTTTATTACAGCCACTTGGTTGGGAATTGCCACCCAAATGGGCATAACCGCATCGAGGGTTAGGCCGGCCGTCGGGCCTAATGTGCCACATTCGGGAGTTTTGCTGCCGACAGACCTCGAAAACGAGCGCCGGAGTGGCACAACTCGAGACAAAACCCACTTTGGGCTATGATTTAAGATTTTTGTATAAATTTTGGCAAACGCGGGTACAGAATTTAGTGATTTATGTTGTTATAAGCAGCATAATTTGCCACAAAAGAAATTTAAAATTCTTGAATTTATAACACCGCCTTAAGAATCTATAATTGCCGACAGCTGGACAATGAGCGCGCGCCGCGGGGCGTGCATAATGCGGCTCTATATCAAGACGACAATTCCCACTCGCGCACCCAAACCCCCGCTGTGGGTCGGGTGCCGACGACGCGGACCATATTTAATAGCCGCGTTTGGCCCGACGCTCGATTCATTCATCGACGACACCGCCTGGAGGCGGCCGGCAGAAAGGCCCCGGCGACAATAGAACCACCACCGCTCCTCTCAATACATTAATCGTTAATCGGCGCCGCGCCCCGCGCACAATGGGCCAGTGATCCATAAAGATGGGTCGTTCTTTACCGATTTCCTGCAGCTACATTTAGCACGAAGCGTGTGCGTTCCTGAATGCGACGCGTGCACCTTCTAATTCACAGATAACCTCGGTGCTATTGGCCGGCATCCAGCGATGATAACACCTGCACTTTCGCTCTCTCAAGCGCACTGACTTATATACGTAATAAATTTCGGCGTGATATAAATACCAGGGGAAACGGCAAAAACTCGCCGCGTTTAGTTCGGCGAATAGTTTAGGCCGCGCAATTTTTGCTGCTTGAAAAGAGAGCCGTGGATATCGATTTGGTTTAACCCGCGTTAACCCGCTCGCTGTAACTCTTTTAATTTTATTCGGAAACTTTTGCGCGCCGAGCGAAATAACAAAATTGCGAATGCAAATTAGATAATTCGCTTTATCTCGTGCAGAATGGAACACTGGAACGTATAATAATTAGAAAAGTGTTTTAGCTGCCCTCAACTTGGGTTTTGTTCCATTTGTGTCACATCATAAAATGAAGTTGACACTGTGCAATAGTAACAAATCATAATTTTACAAATTTTTTTTCCATCCACAGGCCGAGAATTTGATGAAAACAAATTTGTCCCTCGTGAATTCAGACTCACGCACTAAAACACTAAGCATTGAGCAGTGTACCACTCAGATTCGCACTTGAGTAGGCGAGAGCAACAGCCCTAAAGGCTGAAATCACCGCCTGAGGGCTTGATAAACAGCGGACTTGCATTCGAGTGCGCATAAGTGTCGTTCGTCGCCGGCGGCAAGAGGCTCACCCACTTTTGACGCCAGCGATGTATCGCTCCATGCTGCCTCTTCGGTAATCGAATTTGTGTCTGCGAAACGCGCCGCAAATCCGCGGATAATCCCAACGCGCTGCGATTGTGGACTTGTTGCGGCTTTGGCAAGCCTGAGAGAATGCGCCCCGCACACAAAAAACTATTGATAGTCATCATGCTCGAGCGAGTGTATTTCAGCTTAAGTGAAATAGGGGAAATGTGGCAATTTACAAATGCTCGCCGCCGAAACAAAGAAGTAATTTTCGAGTAATGCACGGACGACGGCAATCTGCGAGAGCAGCTTTTTGTTTCGAGCGCCACAAGTCTGGAGCCGTCTCGGTCGTGTCCGAGCGGATGGCGAATACAAACATGCGAATTAAGCGCAAAGAAAAAGACTCCACTCGGCTTTGTGTAACGCAACAGACCCCGGCAGACTTGGCTGTCAGTGCTGGTTTGGCTGTTTTCGAATGCATCGCACGTCCTGCACTCGCCGCTTGCACAAAGAGGCAATAAACACAATTAGCGTTCGCCTCGTTTCGGTTTTCTTGCCGAAGCGCGCTCACAAATCGTCGACGTTCTAATAAATCCGATTTGCTTGCATTGTTGTTGAATAAATAATGCACGGGGGTGGGTATATCGGCAATCTCGGGGAGGCAGTCGTGTCGCGTGCGCATTTGCAGTGCGAAATGAAGTCGTAAAAATTATGTGCGAGACATGCGCGCCAGCAGGAGGAGCATAAATATCTACAAGCGGTACAAGCATGCATTTTTATTGATGTCATCATAAACCTGCTTTTATTAGCAACATCGGCCGTAAATAATCTCTCGTAAATAGACATCTCGTGCGATCATTCCGGGAAGGGGTTAATATAGACACAACTAAAAAGTCTATGACTTCGAGGATAACTGGGAGCTTGTTATGGCAAACACTTGAAGTAACAACTTTTTTAAAATCAAAGAAAATTCATTTTCTCAGGAAATGAGTTAAAATAATTACATTTTATGCGGAAAAAGATAAAATTTCAGAAAAATTTTTTTTGAGTTTTTTGAAAAATTTTAAGAAATAATTACTTACATTCAAGCATTTTTAAATATGTTGTTAAATTTACATCTACTTTTTCATTTCTGCTAACAGCACCTCCTAAAACTCTTTTTTTTTCCAATATGTATTTAACTCCGCAACAAATAAATGAAAGTCAAACAGAAAAAAAAATACAAGGAAATATCAAACAAAAAATATATGCCGTGTATTTGTACAAAATTGAAACTCCGAACAAGTATTGTAGATTTCACGGCCGGATGGAATATAGTTGAACATGTAAAACATGCGCTAACGATACAGTTAGAGGCGCGTGGCGCGAGTTTCGCGAGTCGCGCATGGATATTTAATGTGTCTGCTGTTATAATATTTACAAAGTGATTCCCCCTTCGGGTAATTGAATTACGCCGAGCAAGCTCGCGCGCGCGGGACGCCGTCAGCTCGCCGCCGCCGTGCTCGGGGCCGGCAGCGACGACTTGGCGCGCCGCCGACGTAGCACCACCATCTCGCCGCCCCAGCTAAGCGCCACCGCCAGCAGAAACGCGCTCTGTATCAATATGCACGAAACGTAGCTGCCGGTCGGGGCGCGCGCCCACGCTGAAAACAAATAATTAAACAATTTACACAATTAAACAATTACGCAATCGTAAACAATACATAATTACAGATGGGCCAATAACACAATCAATTATTAGTCTATATTGCCGTGAGGTATTTGTACAGCTATATAAATAGAGTGAGTTTTGGGCGGTGTATTTGCTTACCGAAAAATTGACCTAATGTGAGCACAAAAATGCCTTTAGACACCATGTTGAGGCCGAGCGCGGACGCCAAATGGCTGCCCTTGTTGTTCTCGCAATATTCGGAGACTGTCAGATTCTGGTTGATGACGGTGGCGGCCCGTACGTACCCGCACAGCGCGGAAGCTGCAACCGTCGCTGGAAAACTCGTCTGCATCGCCAAAACTAAACAAAAAGTTGAAAAAAAAATAATACACATATGTATAGTTAACCTACAAAACTAAAATCACAAACAATTATAATGTTAACAGTTAAAAGTTAAACGCTACACAAACTTTTTTTTATTTATTTTTTTATTTTTTTTATTTTTTAGTCTTGTGTGTGGAAGAATATTTGAATGTTTAAAGTTTTTTTGTTTCAACGCGCCCCTGGAATCATCTCTTATGCGAAGGCGCTTGACTCGTATTTGCTTTGGAAATTGGGAAGTTTGCGCTGTGAACGCGAGGGCGGCATAACGGAATAATGGCATAACGATCTTCGTTCCGCCGCCGCCGTCGCCTTCCTGATAGTCCTTACAACAGCTTACACGAATGCGAACACACTTTGCTGCACGTGTATATTTATTTGCCAGACTTAATATCGCGCCAGCAGACGGAGACCGACCAGAAGGAGATTCATCTTCGGCGAGGCGCGCGCACAAAATGTAAGCAATTACGCGGTGATAAATTATGATTCCCAATGCCGCAACTACTAACGACGCCCGCCGCTGCCACCATCATACCCCGTGCTAACAGAGCGAATTCATCGACACTCATGCCATGCATTAAATTATTGGAAAATCCAACGTGTGCAACAGTTGACAGTTGAACATTTGTTCGTAAATATTTTTCAAAAGCAGTTATACGAATTAACGCGTCGATATGTACCGAATTCAGCGTGCGTTTTTTTTTTTTCAACGAGTGATCGATTCACGGCTTGAATAGACACAATGAATAAACATTTTCAACTTTTGCGGATGAAACGTGTTGGTTTTATGTTGAATGTTCGAATGTTTTGTTTTTGAAATTTTACATTTTGTTATTCTACCTTGGGATGAATATCAAATAAATTGGTGTATTTGAGATTTAAATATACATAAAATTAGAATATGACATGATAATACATCACTCAACCATCTCATTAGCGTGGATTTCTGCTGAAAATTGCACGTGAACGAAACACAATATTCGATTGCTTTTTGCTGCGCCATGCAGCACGCTCTCTCATCGCGATTGTGCACTCATCTGCGTGCGTGTGCGATGTGCATGTGTTTTTAGTTCGTTGCGATGCGAGATTCGATTTTATTTATAGCGCATGATTGTAGTTATGCGTCAAGAGGCCCCGGCGTCAGTTATAAGCTCCACCGATGCTTGTTCAGGTAGAAAGGGCATGGAACGAAACAGTGGGTCTGTGTTCTGCCGCCACCGCCGCCGCCGCTATGGATAACTGCATTGTGTATCGCTGCATGCATACAGTATATGTGATCTGCGTTCAGTTTATAACGCAAATTAGATTTTCTCTGTCTGTCGGCTGTTTTGCCGCTTAGCCGATGCTAACGTGACGCTAACGAAGCGAACCATTATTTTATTTCTAATGTTTGTTCAAATAAAACGTTTTACAGGTATTGCAAATTGGATATATTACAGGAATCTATATAAAACTAGCTTTTGCCCGCGACTTTGTCCCGCTAGTGTTTAATATAAATGTAATTCGTTTTTACTCTTTTGTACTAGACATAGTATATGTTAATTCTATCAATAAGATTCGCAATTTTATTTTAAAGAAATTAATTATATAAAGAATTGCTAATAGTGCACTTCAGCGCGCCATCTCGTATTCAACTATTTAACTATAACTATGATTGCATGCCAACTTTTATCCTATAGAAAAGAGCTGTTTTTGGGGTTTTCCCGGCAATTATTCGAATTTTTCTCGAAGCTAAAACCATCCTTGGACTTTAATGAACATTTAAAAAAAGAATTGGCCAAATTGGTCGAGGCGTTGTTGAGTTATGCGCTTACCAACAGATTTTGCGATTCATTTTTATATTATAGATCAATATTGGAAGTGAAAGAATTAATGTGACTCTCATATTTTCATCTTTAAGCGTTTAAAAACATAAATATTATACTTTTTTTTTTGTAGAAATGGAAATTTCTACTGCAAATTAACCGGATTTATCATAAGGTAAGTGAATTAATTTTATCTATCTAACTATGAACTGTTTGTGTGTGGCATTTCATGTTTTGTAACATGACTCTAATTAACCACACGTGCATTGAAACGGTTCCAGACTCGCAAAATGTTATTCAATTCCGCCTCCAAATTCACATTTCGCATTAATTCAACAGAAAAATACAACTATCATTCCTGTTAATCATAACTCCTAGTAAAGTTAGGGTCCTGATTAATTTTTGGAATATTCCAATCCGAATTCCATTCCATTGCTACCTTCAAAGTATTATGTATGATGTTGAATTAAATTAAAACATGTGTGTATGCACCATTCGCATTTTTCCGCCGTTGCACTTCGTAATATAAAGTTTTCTATAGCAATTTGCACTGCGACTGCGAGCTGGCAGCGCGCACGCGGGTCCGAAATTAAACATAACAAAATATTCAAATTAAAATATATACTTTTGCACTCTATATTTACTCGTATGAGTTTTCCATGGACCGGTCGGCCTTTGTAAATTTCTAAATGCGCGCGGAAGCGTCAAAGCACAGGCGCACTAAACAAACATGTTTGCTTATTTACTTGTTGTGCGAGTAGCGTCGAGGAAAAGTCTCAACAAAAGTCAAGTCCAACGTGGGTGTAATTAACGTTATGTAATTCTATACCAATCAGCGTGAAAAACGTACAAACTTATTGTTTTATATCAGGCTACGCAGGAAAACTAAACAAAAACAAGTTCTGTATTTTTATTATGAACAAATTTAATTAACACATGTGTAATTTTTAGTATTTATTTTGTTTTTAGTATTATTAAGACTTATTATCACCTTAGAGTCGCGAAAAAACGTTTTTTGTTATTTTTGTCTATATTCTCTTTGAATTATTAATCCGATTAAATATTTTCTAGTTAACACCGACTAATGAACTATTAATTAACACATCTTGTTATTTTTAATTATTGTAATACTAAAACATTCGTTTGTATTCACTAGAAATTAGTAAAAACATTAAACATTACACGGAATGTTAATTTGCTCGCAATTTGTAATCGAATAATTTATCAGGTCTTTTTCGACATCCGAATGTATTTAACAAAACGCACAAATAACCAGCATTCGACTCATTGCGACCGCACACATGTATATCTCGCTCATTTCGCGCGCCGGCCGAAATAAATTTTCAAGGGGGCAATTATTCGCCGCGCGCCGCCGTCCGCGCGTTCCGAATCGTTTTTGTGTCCGTTGCGGAGAGTACATTTCTTGATGGTGTTGCGTAAATTTATTTAAAATTTATGCGCGCTCGTGCGCAACGCCGCCCCCGAGATTCGTCCAAACTAGAGAATAATATTTTTTACGATAGAAATGAGACGAGTGGAATGTTTTATTTTCGCACAGTGGCAAACATAAACCGAGGGGCGGGTTTGCGCCACGTCGAAAAAAAGGAGAGATTCAAGCAAAAGTTTTCAAATTTTTTACCGAAACTTTGAAATTGTATTGTGGATTTGAGATTTTAGCATTTTTGTTCCAATGTCAGCATATGTCCCAATGTTATCGATCAATAAGCAAAATTTTACGTTTCAGAATAGTCTATGTTCGATTATTTATGTCCAACATTATTATAGGCAACCAATATAAATAACACTGGATGCTTTTTTGTTGCCTAAAATTAAATTTAAATATTTTATACGGTTTGTTTAGCTGGCATTTATTTTTTATTGCCGCGTTTCATATATTCGGGGATAATAATCCAATTTGTTTCCAGCAATTAAAGTCAAATTCGAGCGTTTGTCGTTTGCATAACGCTCGTGGGCGTCGAGAGTCAAAAGTCCCAGCTCGTTTGCTCTCTTTTTAATTATATTAGTTCGACGCGAATGGCTGTGTTGTCTCGAACGATTCCACTGGGATAGATTGAGAAACATCTCGCGTGAAAACAACCCGGGGCCGCGCCGTCACGGGAGAACACTTAAAACAACTACAATTTGTTTGTTACTATTGTTGTTGCACAAGAGCAGCATCTTTCTGTTTGTCCTCGAAGCGATGCGCGCTCCCAGTGCACACCAGCGTGTGTTGTTGCGAAAGAGGATAATTCTTATTGTGAATTTGCCCACTTATTGAATGCGGCGCGGAATTTATTCACGCTGGGAGAAAACTTTTCAAACTCGTTTTCGCTTCCTGTCGCGCGCGCGCGCGCGTTGCAAAACTTTCGGCCGGAAAACGCGACGCGTAATAAGTGATAACGAGATAACGCCGCGTAACAAGATAACGAGGTAACCGATGAACCGATGGGCGTTCTGCAGTCGAAGCATTTTTGCAGTTCTGTTTAAATTACAATCGTTGTAATTGCGGCCAGCCTGCTGCCGACTAATGACGTAAAATAATATTTCGATGCATGCAGTGACAATACATCATTAATAATGATGTCGGTTTATATCATCAGCGGAATATTAAATTATTCATTATTACATAATAATATTTTTGGGGAAAATAGATGTTTTTGTATCGCTCTGTATGTAAAAGTGTTTATTAATGCTGGTACATAAGGCCAGAGATAGTACGCGCTGATTTCTTAGCAAATTTCGATGATGCATTCCTTTAACTTCCGTTTTTGCTACGCGAGATAGCGCGGAAATTCTTTACCATCTGCATTTTCCACGGTTTTTCCTTCGCGTGCTTACTATTTTCTATATCTACGTGTTCGTGCTTTGCATACAAAACTTAAACAGTGTAGAATCCTTTTATGCATTTAACTTATCATTTACTATTATACAATATTCAAAAGTTTTCGATCTTTTATTAAGAAAAATAGTTTATTAAGTATCAAGTGGATAAAGAGAGTTTTAGTCACAAGATTGAATAAATATCAATCGATAAAATTTAATTTCTTTTACTGACGGCGCAGTGTTTTTAGTCTTGTGCTGTACCGTAGGCACATGCACAGGCGCAAACACCAGTCCGTGACTAAAACCTGTGACTAAAGTACTTTATTCACGGCCTTGGCCGTTCGTGTTTAAAGTATCACTTTTTGTGTCTTAAAACCGTAAAAAAACTAGCGGATTAAAGGTGGAAGTAGAAAAAGTAGCTTAAATAGTATAATGTTAAATATCTAAGTTGTCTTATTATTTTTAAAACTTTGCTTGTAACCTAATTTATATAGTCTAAGAGCCCGTGACGGCCAGACTTTCGTCATTTAAAAAAAAAGGAAAATTTTTCTATGTGTGTACCCAACACAGCAAAGAACGATCCCCAATTATTATATTATAAATATTATTCAGAGAGCTATTAAACTGTGTTTTCTTAGTCGCCAGATAGTTTGGTGGGTTATATCATCCTGCCAGACGCATTGAAAGTGTATAATAGTTGCAAAAGTTAAATTGCAGTTTTAATATTATACTAAATTTCCATCTGCTAGACAATTTTGGTATCTTCCATAATCTATAATTTTCTAGTTGCTATTTCTTTTAGTTTCAAAAATAAATTCACTGTCGAAAATCGTGGGAATAAATTATCATTACCATTTGAACATTTTTTCTTAGGAATACTAATTTCATCTCTTAAATTTCCAATTTAACCAGCTTATTTTAAAGAGAATTTTCCGTAGATTAAGACTCTGTGATTAGTTCGTTTCTATCTCCTTTTAGTTTACGAGATATTTACAATTGAAATAAATCGTCAAATATTGAAAAATTGCGATTTTAAGCACTATCAGTCGCGGTTTTAGACCTTTTACCCCATTAAATTAAATTATTTTAAATTTTCATCTCGGAATGACCTTAAAAGTATAATTTGAATTTGAATCTTTGTTTATATATTGAATCGTTCATGGTTGTGATTTTGAGTGAATGTACTGAATGACAGAAACTATAAAAATTCTGTTATGCTGTTTATAGATCAATGAACTAATTTACTTCATTTGAGTTTTTTTATCGGCAAATATATTATAGTTTCGGGGTGTCTGGCTGGAGTTGGAATCATAGCAGAATATCTAGCAATGAACAGCGCATGTTATTAATGTTATGAATAAAATATGCAAAAATTGACTATTCTAAAATAATGAATTTGACATCATAATTGGTACATCTTTGTTGGCTACTACCTGATCTTTACTGTGTTGGATACACACATAGACAAATTTTCATCTATCCTTAAATGACGAAAGTCTGGCCGTCACGGGCTCTTACTCTAATATAGTTTTGTCAGATTTTAATTATTTTTGAAACTTTGAATCTGTTTTGTGGTTAAGTTGTAATCAGTCAGAAACAAAACTTTTTTGAACCTGTTAAAATAGTTTTATAACAAAAAAGTTTATGCTTTTATTTTTTGTGTAAACCATGGAGCTTAATATGCACTTCACAAACTACAATGCGGATCATAGATTTTTCCGATTATCAAAATAAAATGTACTAAAAACGTTTTCACCTCGACTGGAAAAAAAATGAGATGAATGTTTGCACTTACCAGCTCTACAACACGCCAAAACAAGCGCGCCGAAAAGAAATGTTGTACGATATCCAATGCGAACGCGCCTCGCCAGTTTCGGAATGGTGAAGCGGGCGGTTATGTCAGCCGCCGACAGTGCGGACATACAGGACGCCGTCTCCGCCGTCGCAAAGCCGATCTGCCTGAGGTGGAACGGGAAGAGCATGCTGAAGGCGATGCTCGACGTGTACACCACCGATAAGCCTATTATGATGTGTACGAACGTCGCGTCGCCCAGCAGATGCAAATCCAGCGCCGAGGAAATTCTTTTCAGCGGGGAAATCTCGCCGCCTGCAAATAAAGACATTGTATCTTCATTGTACCTCAACACAAAGGAAGTTTTATCTTATTTTAAGCTGCCTATATTTGCCTTGATGTTGTTCGAACTAGTGCGTAGGTGTTTGACTTCTAAGTCTGGATGAACGACATGTTTGAACTCAATTCGTTGTGATGTTGAATGAGTGACGCGAGATAGAAATACTCCAACTTGATGAGGGGGTGCAGGATCAAGATGGAGCAAATACGCAGTGCGGTATTACATCGACGTGTTTTGAGCATTTGCATAAAGCAAATTAGTTCGCGTTAGTTTCGGAATTGCATTAAAATTTTTACCACTAAATCCACCAAGAAGACAAAAAAATATCTTTCGTTAACTTGACAAAAGTTACACTAGCTTTGAAGGCACTAAAAACGTAACCGCGTCATTTTCGCGGCCTATTGCATCGTAAAATACATCGTCTGTCGTATCCTTATCAGGATGACAATGTCTGAATGAATTTTTCTCCGTCGCCAGTGTCTTATATTAACAGCTCTTTTTTAGTGAGATAATTAAATAGAGGTTTTGCCGCGGGGACACCTTTCATCATTATTTTCGTGTGTGTGTGCGTCCGCCGAGCCAGATTTTCATTCGGCAAAGGATTTCGTTTTCGTCCTCGGTGCTTGGTTCTTGTTTTACGAGAGGCTGAGCACAGCGCGCTTGGTTACGGCTCGTTGTCGGCTTGTTCGTTAACATAATAAAAACAATGCATACCCACGCAACGTCCTTTTCGTGCCGCTCTTCGTGGGGCTTATTAAATTTTTAGTTTATTAAAGTTTAAACTTGTGAATACAAAGCAGACGCCTTGCAGACGCTCACTGCTTTTGGTCCAGGGCGCACGAATGAAGCCCACTCGCGTTTGTTCTCGCCGGCGCTGAATTTTATTCATGGGTATTATCTGCTAATGGTATTCAGATAAACACGCGTTGACCCTTTCGCTAATAAACTACGCTTTTCTTCCGGATGCGCAGTACGCGTGCCAGCGCCGAATGCAAATTCGTTCAGTTTTCTGCAGATGCAATTGAAATTCATTTCCTCGACAACAACAACTGACAATTACCCAAGTAAATACAAGAAAATCAACAAAAACCTTACAACTAAAATAATCGCAGATTTTTTCTGCTTTTATTTTCTGCACTATAAAATAACATAATTGGCGCTATATAAAATACTTCAAGTTACGATTGTTGACAAAGTCACTCTCGGATATTCATTGTTTGGCGTGTTCGCTTTGCATTCATTATGCATCCACTTTATGTCCTGCATCATTTATGCCGCCGCGTGCGCCCGTTATAAATGTTTCGCAAGTATATATATTTTTTGTTTCGAATTTAGCGGCGTTCGCATTCTCGCTCGTAACACCCGCATCGCCTTGGTCGTCTCGCAAATTTCTCGCTTGGCTTGCTCCGATGATGAGATGCGAGCGCGGCCGAAAAAATATAAAATATTTCTTTGATATCGAGCCGCGAGCCCACTCGGAGACACACACAAACCGAATCGAACGTGGCCGAGGGAAATGTACGAGGCAATGATTTACGACAAATAAATGATAGGGTTTCGCCATGCGACTACCAATATGTGCATGTTCGTACACATTCAAATTCCAAGAATGAAAATCGAGGCTTTCTTTTGTTTTTGTCTGTCTTTTTACATGAACAAGAAACTCTACGATATTTTTTCGTTGTTTTAGTCTTTTTAACAGTGTTTCTTCTTTATATGCACGTTTTGCGATTTCATAATAAATTTACCAGTTGCAATAAATACGAGTACGCAGTATGAAATGTATAGGAGAATAAAAAGAGTATATTTTTTGCTATTACCTCTTGTTGGTGTATTTTTCATGTCCATTTCTATGTTATTATTATTTGTAACATCGGAGCATTGAGTATTTTCCACGTTCCCACTATATCTTTTCACCTCGGATGCGTTATGCTTTTGTGACTGAAGCAAAGCAATCTCTTCGGACTTCTTCTCTACAATGACCACCTCTGTGGAATGCTTCAGATCGTCGACGTCGTCGCCGTCGACAACGGTCTTTAGATGTCTTTCAACCGGCTGTAAGAAGCTTCATTTAATGTTTTCACTATTAGGCAACTTCAATTAACTGAAAAGTGAGCAGGTACTGATCAAACGAGTTAATTACATTAAAGCGTGTCGGTGATGATGCACGTAAAACAGGACAAATTTATTTTAAATTAACGCCGACTGCGTGTGTGTGTGCCAAATCAGCTGGACGCACTGTGAAAGTGTACGAAAGGAGTTGAATTATGTAATTATCCCAGCGTAAATTATTCAAATTACGCTATTGTTTGCGATTACAAGAGGGCTTACAAAAGGCTATACCACCGGCGTGTTGCGAAAACAAATCCGTCGTTTAGGCCTCCACATGAACGAAAGCATGATTATTATACAGAGTGATAAATAAATTAGTGTTTACCTCAAACATCAAAGCGCCAATCAAGCCGTGTAAAGAAATAGCGCCCATGATTAACACGGTTCCGTTGTAGTCGAAAGCTTCCTGAAGAGATGTCACTATTTGTGGCATGAAGGTTTGGCCAAGACCTGTCCCAGCCATTGCAAGACCAACAGCTTGACCTTTCCGTGTGTCAAAATACGAATTGACCGCCATGAAAGACGCGGGCATTATCAAACCCAAACCTAGGCCTATCAAAATAATAATATACATTAAAACATATTATGCAATGTAATATTTGAATGTTTTCGACTTTATACATGAGTATCAAGTATCAAATGTTATTTGCATTCAACTGGCATTAAATTACAAGTACATTAGTTCGCATCATCATTAATCCAGCGCGAAACATGGTAATGAATCAGCATGTAAACACGGAATGCTCTACTACTCTGCGAGTCTTGACTGCTTCACTTCGCGCTGATGCAGAGCGGAAGTGATAGTTTCGCCATGATACTACTCCCGCCTCAGACTGGTCTCATCGTGAGAGATGTTGGGTAATGACGAGGAAAATGTTTTAAACAGATTAAGCTCGCGATAAATCACGGCACGCGTTAACGGCCTGTTAATCATCGACGATTTATAATTTTTATCCGCGAACGGGACGCGGCTTAACATCGCGCATAATCGCGTAAATAATATCACGCCATTTACAATTCGCATTCTTTTCCCGGCTTGGAAGTCTTATATTTTCAGACAGTGACGATTCATCACTCTTACACCAACGCGACACCGAGTTAAATTCTTGTTTATGTTGAGGGATGTTGGCGGACGACGCCAAATTCTTGGTTTATATTAAAAAACTCGAAAAAATGACTAGGTTGTATTTTATACACTATCATAAAAATATAAATATATATACAAACTGTTTTTACTTTATGCTAAAAAATTAAAAATTTACCTACCTGCAAAAACACTAAATGTTAGAAAAAAATGCCATAGACTGCTTGCAAAACTAGATAAAATTAATCCACTGGCAGTTAATAATACTCCTATAGCTGTGACAACTCGAGGTGAGTATCTTTTAAGAATAGGTCCAGTGAGTAATCCGGAAAAGTTGGTGACCATGCAGCTGATGTTCAAAACCAATGCGGCTCCTTCTATCCCATATGACGTGTTGCTAATTTGAAAACCATAGACCAAACCGAACACCGACACAATCGCTTGATTACCCATCTAGAACAGGAGAAAATTTCACTGATCAATGAATGTTAAATGTGTGGTTTAATTTTGCATGGTGCAAATGCATAAATAAAAACGCCACCAAATCAAACGCGGAAAAAAGAACGGATATCAAAATGCATATCGGCGGGCGGCGCACTTTGCGCGCATGAAATATTTAAATCAATTTGCATGTTTTGCCATGCGTCCATTGGTACATACAGGAGAGACCATTGCCAGCTGGCCGGTGAAAATCGCGATTGATTTTCAGTGTTTTTTATATGTGCGTCACATGGCAATCAACATTCGGGTTTAATTCATATTTCATTGTTTCATTCGGCGGTATTTTCTGGGTCATTGGTGCTTTTTAATATAAGCTGCGTTTTTTTTTTGCGTTAGTTTTCACTGCACAGCAGTGGCAACAGCGTTGAGAAGCGACAATTAAAATTATTTATCGGCATAATCAGTTTAAGCACGCTGCGCCGCGTCTTTTATTCTTCCGAGGAAAATTGCTACGTTTGAATTGGACGACAAACGAGCACAAAACGGAGGGAAATAAGAGCAAATCATTTTTATCATCTTGTTTAACATCACTCATAAAACCAGTTTGTACTGTTTATTATTGCTGTAAAAGGCTAACAATATTACTATCGCTAATCCCGTATTAAGATTAATAAGTGAATAATTAATGTGGTTTGATTAATTTTCTTACGTTGGCAATCGCCGCGCCGAGCACAACCATCCAGCCCCAGCCGCCATCGGGAACTTTTCGGATTAATTTTGTCATTTTTTGTTGATGGCCGGTGATGAAAAACCGTTAATCAAGCGAATCGCACATGGGTTAATTTATTAACGAACTCACGCAACACACGCTCGACTCACGACGCTCACACGACTGACGAAAATGAACCATAGCGATGTATTGCATACTCACTGCGACCGTGGGCAAACAACTGATTAATCGGTGTTGATTCACCGATAATTGTTTATCTCAACTACAGAATTCCACTTGGTACTTAACCGGTAGAGATTGTCAAAATAAAATACAAACAATTTTTTCTTACGTCCTACAATTGTCATTTTACGATATTGTCTGAGAGTTTAACAATATTTGTAGTATTCCACTTGTGTGATTATTCATGCAAACGTCAGCAATGATTAAAACACGTTGTGATTGCATGAACGTGCAAATCGCAGCATAATCGCACTTGTAGATTATAGAGTTATGTTTTGCATAATTTTATTATCGTTTAATTGTGTTGTTTTGATTACGGAACATATGGGCGACCTTTGCACCTCGAAAAATATTAATGAGAGTATTAAATGAGTTTGACTGCGGTCTAGACTTTGGTAAATGTGTTAAATATTTAATTATGTTTTAAAACGGGTTTACTTTACAGTTTTAAAATAACTATGTTATATGGGTTGTCTTTAAAACAAAGTTTTTGTGAGGTTTTAACTCGTGATTGTTTAATTTTTAATTATTTGCTGCGCCGGATGCGAAAAATAATTATGCACAATAAAGCTGGCGCCGCCAACGAGTCGGTTTTCAATTTTCCACGTGCGCGCGCGATGTGTAGGTGGTGCGCGGCCGAAATTTTCTTAATTGGGTTACGGCGGCGCGAGATGCAAACGCCATGGCACGACGGCAGCGGCAGCGGCAGATATCGTCGGTTAATCTAACATACCGTTATGCGAATAACACCGCGCCGAACGAAGCTAATAATACCGGAACGCACGGCGCAAGATAAACAAAAAGTTGGCCGCAACATGCCGCCGCCGCCGCCGCCGCCGCTTCCCAAACCATTGCTCGCGTGCGACGTCTCGCCCGACCCAGTCAGATACCAACAGGAGTTGCAAACATTTCGCGAATCTAGGTGGTACATTGTACGTGTTGTTTCTTTCTGTTGTTGTTTTATCTTGAATATTTCGGGGTACTTGTCGGAGGGTCATGAAATTATTTTTGCTACGTTATGTAAATATTTTTTATCAATCATCCTCATTATTTGAAAATTTTCAACTTTTTATAATAAAACAAAAAAAATTTAAAATTTTGTTTCTTAATTTGTTGATTTATTGTTTAAAAATATATTTGAAAACAAATTTATATATTCTGTATTCATGATTGGTGCATCAAAAAATGCGAGTAGAAAAATACTGTGCAGACACATTATTTTATTCAAATGCAGGACTTAAATATTCATCGAACGCGCGAATCTAATTCCGACGGTGGCAGCGTTGCATGCGAGTAGAGAACACAAACCCCCTGCTCGCCGCGATGCTGTCGCAAGCCACAAGTGCCTCGCGCCGCCCCACAATGATAAATAAACCGTTCCGGGCGCAAAACTAAGCTTTTACGATATCGTCGAACATAAGCCGAGGGACATAACGTCGTTAAATTGACATCGAACGCGCGGCGCGCGACGCCAGTCCTTGGAAAAAATATCGCATTACTCCAGAATACGCCGCCCCACACCCCCACAGAATAATGTCATCGGTTCATCTCGCATCGTAAGAAATGCTGTGATGTTGTAATGTTGCCATATTGTAATAGCATGTCGCACAAATTTACGAGCACTGATGTCAATATTAATAAAATAAGTCATTAATAAATTATTGTTGATAATACACGATGTGTATACTCTAGCGCTCGTCATAATAGTGTAGCTGAGTGTGGGGCGAGTGCGGATTGTGGTTCAATTATTGAAGGACTAAAAGGACTTGGCATTGGCGTAAAATATGGTTTTGGAGTTGGCCGACGCAGGACGTCGCAGAGCGATTAAATCATATAAAGCTCGCGGCGACTTCGTGCCGAGCAATCCGGTGGTAAGTAATAAGCTTTTTATGAAGTCTTTATTAGGAGCGTTTCGTCGCTCTCGGCTGGATTTTATACAAACGTTATTTTTGCACCGTCGCCGCCAACCCCGAGGGCGTAAAACTCGGGCGCAAATTGACGGACTTTATGGCGCTGCTCTTTTTTATTAATTCGCCGTTTATCAATTTATGATGAATGTCCACGCGCGTCGCTTATTAACCTACCAAATTATTAACTGGAAGCGCATTAGCTTTTTCATATTTGATTAGAGTTCTCATTGATTTTCTTGGTGATATTTAGCGTCATTTTAATCAAAGTTTGTGTTTTGTGAGTATGTTGATGGGCTGGTACTGCCAGCAGCTTTCGATTTATCTTCGTTATGAAAACATAACAGCGCACGACCTGTGGCTGGGCGACCCTTATTGCTTTTCCATAAATCTGCGCCTAGTTTGTAACAATAAAAGGGTTGGAATGGATCCGCCAAACCGAGCAGAACAAATTGTTACGACATATTTTCACGTTTCATGAATAAACATATGAATATAAACAAACGTAATAATACGTGAAAATACAATTTTATTATTTTACACCGGTATGTTAAATTTATGTAAAAATCGGCGAATGTATTCAAAACATGCAGAATATTGTTCAACAATACCCTGTTTGCTAATTTTCAGACGAACATTATATAAATGAGTATAATTCTTATAAAACTCTGCGAAATAAAAAATAAAACGCAAAGTTTTAGCGAAATAAAAAACAAAACTTTTTTAAATTATTGTTTATGTGCCTATTTGTATTTGTTTAAATAATGAAATCTTTGTAATAAGGTAATAAAAGGTTTTTTGCTTGGTGGAAAGTTACAGCTTGCTTGCATCTTGACTAGTATGAGAACACATCTCTTATTTCATTTTAAGCTCTTAGAAAAGTAACTACGACTCGAGTATTTGTGCGCGCATTTCCTAATAGTGCAAAAAAATGCCACCGAGTTATAGAGCATGTTCGGGATTCAACGCTGATGGTTGCGGGGTTGGTTGGGTGGGTTGTACAGTTATTAATGATCTGTCAATTCTCACCCAGCTAACATTGTTTCTGCATTATTCGCCCCCATGAAAGCTAACAATATGATTTATAATTTGCCTCCACCGCGGCTTTCGCCATCCAGCGAACCCATTTCGCACTTATTAAGATATTATTCAGCTATTTATGCACCCACGGCCTTGACACCTTTCAGGATGCAGTGGGAAAACTAAAAAATCATTTCTTAGCTGAATTTGATGTCGATATTCAAGTAAGTTTTGTTTTTAAATAAAAGTAAGAGTGATTTAAATTGATTAGATTAGCTTCCAGTATGCTGGACATTAAATTCTAACGACAAATTGCATAAATCAGGCGGGAATAAATTAATACGATTGTTATAATTGAGTAATAATTTAAAGGAAAGTGATTGCTTAATATTGGAAAAGTTCTTGAGTTCGACTTGAGTGACGTTTCCTATTAAAACGTGGAAATTCGCTTTGGAATAGAAATTTATCTCAAATGAAGGAATCTTAAAATGAATTTAAACCAATCCATTTTAAGGACGACCTCTTGGAATATAGGATTACAGAGCAACCAATTTTGCAGGATACTGCGATGCTATTATTTGCAGACGACGTAAAGTGTAGAATACTGCGTAGAATACAGAGCGCTGCAAATTTGTTTGGACACGAGATGGCGATACGATCTACTTTTCCTAATGGTTTCCGATTTTTCATCCAGCACATTTAGATTTATTTAATCTGAGTGGAATATTTATTTATCTTCTTTGTAGAATACGTAATGCATAGTGCTATAATTATTTAAAATGGTATATTTATTTATTAAGTTACTGACGATGCTCTCAGTATTATGGTACTGTATTATGGTGCAAAATACAATTTTTCAATACAATTACAAATTGCGCCAAAACGGTCAATGATGTATAATAATGGTACTTATAGTCTAAGAGCTCGTGGCGGCCAGACTTTCGTCATTTTAGAATGAAAAAAAGATGAAAATGTTTCTATGTGTGTACCCAACACAGCAAAGAACGATCCCCAATTATGAAACCTTGATTGTGGTTCCATTGGCAGTTAACAGCCAACAATGATGTACAAATTATGATGTCAAATTCGTTATTTTAACAAACTTCATTTTTGAATATTTTATTCTTAAAATTAATATAACATTGCTCATTGGCAGACACTTGGTACTGTTCCAACCCTAGCCAGAAAATTCTAAACTATACTATTTTTTAATTATACTTTTGTCATATTAGGACAGCTGAATTACCTATATTATAAATATTATTCAGAAAGCTATTAAACTGTGTTTTCTTAGTCACCAGACAGTTTGATGGGCTTTATCATCCAGCCAGACGCATTAAAAGTGTATAATAGTTGCAAGAGTTAAATTGTAATTTTAATATTATTCTAAATATCCATTTGATAGAGAATTTTCCAATCTTCCAAAACCTATAATTTTCCAGTTGCTATCTCTGTTAATTTAGAAGATATTCACTGACGAAAATCATGAAAATAAATTATCAAGCACCCCACCCCCTTGACCATTTATTCTTATGAATTAAAATTTCATCTCTTAAACTTCCAATTTAACCAGCTTATTTTAAAGAGAATTTTCCGTAGAATAAGACTCTGTGATACGTTGCTTACTATCTCCTTTAGTTTACGAGATATTTGCAATTGACAAACCCCTTTTACCCCAGTAAATTAAATTATTTTAAATTTCCATCTCGGAATGTCCTTAAAAGTATAATTTGAATTCGAATCTTTGTTTATTGAATCGTTCATGGTTGTGATGTATGAGTGAATGTTCTGAATGACAAAAACTATAAAATTCCTGAGCCTCCAATTGTCCATCAAGAGAATCTCTCCAAATTGCGCATTCATAAATCCCTCAAAACCCTTTGGAAGTGCCCTAAAATAACTTTCTAGAGTTAGAATTTGTCAAAAAAAATTTAGAAGCATGCTGTACCATTCTGCCATCCTGTATCACACCATAATGATTCGAATGTCTTTGATTTAAAATGTATTTCAGAATTTGAAATTTCTTATATGAATGGGATAG